CGACAATTTGCGGTGTGTGGATCTTGTTGGTAGATCAAGGGGTCTGTGTTTATTTTGGAATTTGAAGTTGATGTAAATGTTCTTGAGTCCAACTCCAATGTAATTCATGTATCCTTAGTTGAAAAGTCGATAAATATATGCTGGGAAGCCTCTTTTGTTTATGCGCCTCCTATGTTTAATCAAAGACAATTATTTTGGCCTTTTAATGAACTTACAGTCAAGTCATAACAAGCCTTGGTTATGCATTGGAGATTTCAATGATAGGAGGATTGATGTTCTTAGAGAATTTTTGAGTCATGCTCATCTATCAGATTTAGAGACTGTAGGTTATAGGTATTCCTGGATTAATAATAGAGAAGGCTCAACCCTTATTAAAGAGAAAATTGATCAAGGCCTAGCGAATTGGCCATAGAGGCAGCTTTATCCTAATACTACACTCACTATTAATCCTCCTATTGCCTCTGACCATGGACCTTTAATTTTGTGGACAAATCCAGAGAAGAGGAAGAATAAAGCACCATTTAGATATGACCATTTTTGGGAAGAATATGAAGCTTGCAATGAAGTTGTAAAAACAGCTTGGTAAAACGAAGAAAGTGGTACTATTTGGGAAAGAGTCCAGCAAGGCTTGCACCAAAGCACATGCAACTTGTCTCAATAGCACAAAGAAACTTTCAAGAATGCTAAATGGGAGATTCGACATTTAGAAAGCAAACTCAAGCAGCTTTATAATGCTGACAATGCCAAGTTCAGGTTGAGTGAAATAAACGATCTTGAACGGAAAATTTATAGTATATGGGACCAAGAGGAAAAGTACTGGGGAGCCAGGGCAAGGGTCAAGTGGCTTAATTATGGAGATAAAAATTCAAAATTCTTCCATACGACTACTTTACAAAGAAGAACTCAAAATAAAATTGTTAGATTGAAGAATGATGATGGTGTTTAGGAGGAAGCTGAGATCCGAATTAGATAGAACTTCCAAGAATATTTTCAAAAGTCTGAAGTCAGGGATTTATCCCAAGTGTTGGCTTACATTCCTTCTCTTGTCACCGAGAGAAATAATGGAGACCTGTCTCAACTAGTGTTTAGTTATGAAGTAGAGAAGATGGTCTTTGAACTTGGTGCTTGTAAATCTCCGGGACCGGATGGCTTTAGTGGTTTGTTTTATAAAAAATATTGGGATATAATGAAGGATGACATATGCAAAGCTATTGAAGACTTCATGGAGAATGGCTATTTTCCTACCGAGGAAAATGAGACTTTTATTGCACTTATTCCAAAAATTGAGTGCCCTGAATTTATGAGCCAATATAGGTCCATTAGCTGTTCAAATTTCATTTATAAAGTGATTGCAAAAGTGCTAACTAATTGTCTTAAACTTCTTATGAATACTTTGATTTCTCATAATCAAAGTGCTTTTGTAAATGGGAGGTTAATTTAGGACAACATAGTTATTGTTCAGGAAGTTTTTCACTATATGAGGAAAAAGACTAGGGGCAAGCATGGAGAAGTGGTGGTGAAGCTTGATATGAACAAGGCCTATGACAGACTTGAATGAGACTTTTTGCAAGCTATTCTGAAAGCTTTTGGGTTCTACGACAAGTGGGTGCAAAGGATTATGTATTGTGTAACTTTAATCTCTTTTAGATTAAAGATTAATGGTGAGTATGGCCTTTTATTCTACCCTCAAAGAGGTCTTAGGCAAGAGGACCTATTATCCCCTTACATTTTTGTGCTAGCCAGTGAATCTCTATCCTTGATGCTGCATAAGAAATTTCTTGAAAAGAAAATCTCAGGTATTAAACTTGCCAGGTCTGCTCCTGCCCTCTCCCATTTATTTTTTTGTTAACAATGCAGTTCTTTTTTTGCAAGTTGATGAAGCTAAATCTTATGAAGTCATGGAGACTCTTAATGTCTATTCTATTGCATCAGGACAAATGATCAATCTTAGCAAGTCTAGCCTAATTTTCTCTTGTAATATTATAATTGAAGTCAAGGACAAAATTTCCAAAGCCTTGAGCATCCCTTGCTGGGACATTCCTTCAAAATACTTGGGGATTCCCTCTTCTTGGGGATAACCAAAACATAACTCTGAGTTGGATCATGGAGAGGGTTAAGCCAAAAATCGAGGGCTGGAAAGAAAAACTCTTGTCATTAGTTGGTAAAGAAGTGCTTATTGAAGCTGTCTCGCAATCGATACCTAACCATGCTATGTCCATTCTTAAATTCCCTAATCATTTTTGTACTAAATTATGCATGAGTGTGACTAACTTTTGGTGGAATAAAAGCAAGGAAAAGAAAGGAATTCATTGGGTTGGATGGAAAAAGCTATCAAAGAGCAAGAAAGAAGGGTGGCTGGGATTCAGGGATTTTTACAAAATGAACCAGATTTTGTTGAGTAAACAAGCATGGAGAATTCTAACCAAGAATGCAAGACATTAAGCCTATTGTACAAACATATCAGAAAGTGAAGGGGCTGTTTTCCTTGACTGGTAGATCTTGGGACCATCATAAATTAGTTGAAGTCTATGGGGCTAAAAAAGCAAAAAAGGTGGCAACTATTCCGGTAAATTGGAACTCTGATCCTGAACAAATTGTTTGGCCTCACAAGTCCAATGGAATCTACGATGTGAAGACAGGTTATCACCAGATGAGGCTTTTCCCAGCAAAAATAACAATACATCAACATTCCAGGTGGTTGACAAATGAATGTGGAATGAGATCTGGGGCTTACAGACATTGCCAAAAATAAAAGTGTTTACATGGCAACTTTGTAATAATGCAATTTCGACCAAAGAAAATTTATTTAAGAAGAAAATAGCTTCAGACTCTTTGTGCCCAATATGCCATGATGCTGTAGAATCTATGGAACATCTTATTCTGAAATGCGCTTGGACTCATCCGGTCTGGTTTGCCACTGATTTCCAATGGGATATTAGAAACCCACAGGTTCTCAAACTAGAAGATTAGTTGTTGGAAAGATTCTTGATGTTGTCTTCATCTTTGGAAAAATCAGAAAGTGCCAAAGCCTTTATCACCAATCTTTGCTGGGTAATTTGGAAGATGCGAAATGAAGTGGTGTTTCAAGAAGCAAAAATTAATCCAATGCAGGCAATTCAGCATGTCAAAATGCTAAATATGGAAGTCGAATCCTGCAAGCCTTCCGTTAACGTGATTGAGCACCCAACCTCCACATCAGTTTGTAATAATCGGAGCCGCAAACCCACACCCCCCCCCCCCCCCCCCCCCCCCCCCCCAAAAAAAAAAAAAAAAAAAAAAACTAATTGGTTTAAAATCAACTATGATGCAACTTTTATGAAGCACTCTCATAATAGAGCGATGGGAATTGTAATAAGGGATGACAGAGGTATGTTATTAACAAGGCAAGCAAAAAAAAATTTCGCTACAACCCCCCTTGTAGCAAAGGCGCTAGCTATAGTTTTGGCAGCCAATTTGGGTTTGAGTAGGGTCTTACTGGAAACAAACTGTTTAGATCTTATCATGGCCTGTAGGAAGGAAAAGGTTATTTGGGAGATTGATGGTGTTGTGAGAGATATACACAACCTTGCCCACAGTTGTTCCTCAATTGAGTTTCAGTGGACCCGTAGAGAAGCTAATATGTTAGCGCATGAGGTTGCAAGGTCGACAGCGTCAGATTCTCTGCCTTTCAATTGGTTGTCTTCTTGCCCTATGAGTATATTGAGGATTTGTCTTCAGGATAAGCCGTGTCAACATCCAATTGGATTAGTTTGCTTGTCTTCTAGTCTATAGCTGTCATATTTATGTTGTTTTCTCATATGCATGCCTTGTTTTTTGAGGAATGGATACTTCTGACAAAAAAAAAAACAACATAAATATGACATGTTAACATCCATATCTATTAACAACTAATATGCATTCCACTTTCTAGATACATTGAGTTATAGTAGCATTAAAGACATTATAATCACTTGGAATTCTATACTAGTTGTAACAATGAGAAAAGTGAGAAAATTATTTATATCTATTTTATATATGCAATTCAATTTAAGGTTAGATCTAAGGGTGGGTGGTCAGTTGGGGCAATGTTGCCCAGGCCCAACCACTGGTAATTGTACTGATGCATTATATTTTTAGTGAACCTAATATGAACTCTGATTAACCCCAAATAGTTAGTCTGGTGGTAAAAAATATTTGTTCCCTACATTAACTTATTGAGTTTAAACTACTTTGAGACCACTTATTACATTTGCATCTTGGAGATTAGTTGAGATACAAATAAAATGGTCAGACACCAATTTTATATATATATATAAAAAAAAAAAACTCCAATTCTATCTAATGATAGGATTTAATTGAAGCTATGTGGAAGGAAACCAATTAAAAAATGCCATAAATCAAAGATGACGGCGTCATGAAGGCCATATAGGTTTCCGTTATTGCAAAGGACACAAAAGCAACAGAAAAAGCTTTATTGGTGTTCGTACGAGGATTTATTGCTGCTGTCAACAATATATCACCTGATACCTTTCCATTTATTTGTCTTTTGGTAAATTCTACGCTTCCAACACCACTGAAGGACAAGTGTGAATTATACATTCTAACTTGAAACTTATTGCGTATTAAAGTTTATTAATACAGTATTAAGCAAATCCTCCAAATTAAATAGTGTTAGGTGGTCATCAATCTAAACGTAATTGTATATATTTGGTAAAATGTAGATAATCGTGAATGTTAATAACACGATAATTTTATGGCTTTAAAATTTTCTGTTATAATAAATTGACTAATAAACTGTCTTATTTGATAATTTCACGTAATTGATTAAATCACGCGCCTGTGATAGATCCGAAGTTAGATGAACCCTACCTACTCTCACTCTCAAGTCTCGATGTTCTCAATACCACTAAAAACACTTCTCACGCTCCACGTTTATGACAAACACAGCGAGTGCGAGTTTGTATCTACACTCCCGAGTAGGGTAGGTACTCAGATAATTTGCTATATATATGCACACGAAGACATACTCATGATGTAACGCCGTCGGCTTCATACGCACATACACGTACACAGAGCTCACAGTTGAATCTTCACTCTCACTTCTCAAAAGCCGTCACCAACACCACTCACTCCCACTCGCAAACAGAGAGAAATGACAAGTATTGCTGCCTAATAATCGTTGGAGATCCGACCTGACCAATCGTCTCAAAGTCTGAGATCTTTCCCTCAGAGAACACAACTGCTCGCTACCTAGGGTTTGGTTTTTGTAATGGCTTCTGAGGATGTAAAGACCAGCGAATCGGCGGTGTCGACGATTGTCAATCTGGCGGAGGAGGCGAAGCTTGCAAGAGAAGGCGTTAAAACTCCAAGCTATGCGATTCTAAGTATCTGCAAATCTCTTGTCGCTGGAGGAGTCGCTGGCGGAGTGTGAGTTCTTTTCTTTCTTGCGAGTTTAATGGTTTTTCTTTCGTAGTTTTGAATGGAAATTTTAATCTGGTGAAAATTAAATGAAAACGTATAATCTTGTGAATTCTTTAATGTTGTAATTTGCGTGAGTGTTGACTTCATTGCCGCTCTGTTATTTTCTTGGACAAAGTTATTTTGGAATGTTCTTCCGAGTACTTTATGACTTTATTGATTCTCTGTTTATTTGTTTAAGAAGTTTCAATTTCAAGGTTTATCATATCGTTTCCTGAACTTATTATACTATGTATTTTGTTTTAATTGTTCTTCTGAAATATCATGTGAAAATTTTCATTCTTTAGCAGTGAGTAGTTTAAGAATTTCCTGCTCAATCCCACGAATTTGATCCCAATAATTTTTGTACAACCCCAGAGATATAATTGATTAAACTAGGTATTACACAAAGTTTATCTTAAAATTATTTTCATTTAGATCAGCATTTACTTGCTTCCTCAAATAAGAAAAATTCCCTTGTTTCACAAATTTTCAGTCTTCTAACTTACTGCCATCTCTTTAGTTAAGGTGGACAATCTAAACTTCATATTAGCGTAGTGTACAGTATTGCACTTTGATCAAGAGAGCAGCATTAAGCTCTCTCGCAACAAAGCTATGCTCCTCTACTCATTAGAATTACAGTTGCTGATCCGTATGGTGGTTTACTCATGCAAATAAAATATAGGCTTCATCTCCTCAAAAGCAGAATGCAAAAGCATGATTAGGTTATGCATCTTTTATCGTTTCTTGTTGCTATAGTATTACCATGTTGTATCTTGACCGAACTGAGTCTTTGCATGTTAATGCAGATCTCGCACTGCTGTTGCACCATTGGAACGATTGAAAATATTACTACAGGTTAGTTACCTCAATTTGCACTGGATGTGTATTATTGCACTCTTTAACACACTCATGTTGAATGCATATTATGATGCAGGTTCAGAATCCCCATAGCATAAAATACAATGGAACAGTTCAAGGGTTGAAATATATATGGAGAACTGAGGGATTTCGTGGACTGTTCAAAGGCAATGGTACTAATTGTGCTCGTATTGTTCCAAACTCAGCTGTCAAGTTCTTCAGCTACGAGCAAGCTTCTAAGTACGATTCTTTATAATTCTTGCTGCATTTGTTCGTTTGATTCCAGTTTCTTGTCAGAATGTCTCTGAAGGGTGAATATGGTGTAATTCACTGAACTACAATTTTGGTTATCTCTTTGTTGATCAAATATCAGGTTTAAGTTGTGTATAGTTATGTCCTAGCAAAAGTAAGTAAAAAAAGAAGAAGGCAGAAGAATTATAAGTTGTATTTAGTTATGTATGTTAAGGTAACATGCTTGTAGCCTCTTTACAGTGCTAAGCTTGCATTCATCCATCAGAGGCAGGGAATACATTATTTGATGATTCCAGCTGATGTATACACTCTTTAGTGAACTGTAACTTCGACAAATCTAGATGACAATAGTAATTTTAAAATGAGGTCCAAATCACTTTCAACTACATAATTAAGCATTATAATCTCTTTTTCTTATATTCAGCTTTGCTGAGGAAAAGATGTCTAATACCTGTTATAAGCATTTTAGTATGCAGCCTATCACATAGTTTGAGGGAGGGCAATGTTTGTCCTTCAAGTCTCTTACTACATTTATTCTTATTCTATATTTAGATTGATAAAGTTTTCAAAAAGGTTGTCTATGACTATTTATTTGATTAGTCTTTCCTTTTGCTGATTGGTCCTCTCTATTTTAAACAGGGGAATACTGCAATTGTATCAACAGCATACTGGGAATGGTAATGCCAACTTTTGTTTTCATTTTCTTTTTCATTGACGAGTACTCCTTTGTGCATTGCAAGACTTTATGAGACTGAACATCATAACTTGATTATTACCATGGGATATATTTTGCAAAATACTAAGCATTTCTTCATGTTTACACACAAATAGGACTTGTAGGGATATGAAGCTTATTTAAGTTCCTTTTCCTTTTTAATTTTTGCAGAAGATGCTCAACTCACTCCTCTGTTACGCCTTGGAGCTGGAGCATGTGCTGGAATAATTGCCATGTCTGCTACTTATCCCATGGATATGGTACGAGGAAGATTAACTGTACAGGTACCGTCTTTAAACCATTTGTTTAAATTGCAAATTGTTCTCCAATAAAGTTTTCTGAGATACTTATTTTTTGGTTTAATCTCCTTTGAATTCTCCAATGAAGAAGGATATTTTTTTTTATTCCTGCTTTTTGCTGTGAATCTTTTCTATTTAGAAGAACTTATTAGCTTCTTTTTATATAAAAAGAATTGAGTTTACTTTTATGTGATTATTAGAAGCTGTCCCTTTTATACTTACGTGCATCTTAAAGGTTTTTATGATTCATTCTTTTTCTTTTTTCTCCCATTTGTATTATGTTTCCAGACAGATAAGTCTCCTTATCAATACAGGGGAATGTTCCATGCTCTGTCAACTGTGCTACGCGAAGAAGGTCCACGGGCTTTGTACAAGGGCTGGCTTCCTTCTGTAATTGGAGTTGTAAGTATTATTCTTCCTAGTTTTTTTTTAATTGGAGTTGGGAAGTCTTCAAGGCTTTTCCTTTCTTAGTTATACGTGGATCTTATACTATAACTCATGTTTGCAGATTCCATATGTGGGTCTCAACTTTGCTGTGTATGAATCTCTGAAGGATTGGTTAATTAAAGCTAGGCCTTTTGGACTAGTTGAAGATTCTGAGTTGAGTGTAACGACAAGACTTGCGTGTGGGGCTGTCGCTGGAACTGTTGGCCAAACAGTCGCTTACCCTCTTGATGTCATTCGTCGAAGAATGCAGATGGTAGGATGGAAGGAAGCTTCCTCAGTTGTCACTGGTGATGGGAAGAGCAAGGCCACTATAGAATATAATGGCATGATTGATGCATTCCGGAAAACTGTTCGGCACGAGGGGTTTGGTGCATTATACAAGGGTTTGGTTCCAAATTCTGTGAAGGTCAGTCTGATATCATCACTTCTTTTCCATTTTGAAATCAGGCTAGTTTACCACATTAAAGAAAGAGTTGCATTAGTCAGAATGGCTAGACGACATTGATTGTTATTTCTATAATGGCATTTTTTAAGTGGACGTAAGGATAGATAAATCTTAGATTCTGTGCTTAAAAATCCCCACCCTAATTTAAAATGCTTGTGTTCCTTGAACTTTTCTACTGGCAGGTTAAGTATCATGGTCTATTATGTATTCTGCGTGAAAAATTGGGTTGGTTGGGTGGTTTTTTGATGTCTAACTGTCACTTTGTTCTCCTTCACTAAGTAAAATTTTGAAAGTGATTGCCATTTGAATCAATATTGCAACTTCCCAACATTTCAATTGTGACTTGTGTAATCTAACGTATAAAGTGCATCTAGATTTGTGCGCGTAGCAGGATAACTGCTTCGTATGTGCTTTTTGTGTTACACTTTCAGATTGGAAAGAGTCATGGTTAATTACTCATGCATTGACTGAAGTTGTAAGTTTGTTATCTTGACTTACAAAATATTTGTCTGCCTAATGAGCTTGTGACAGTATTATCATAAACCAGCATATACACCTTCCCTACAACTGTTTCTTGGTGGACTTATTGTGATTTGTATTAGAATTTATTAAATTTCTTCTGAGAAACAGAGCTGGTTGGTGAATCAATAATATATTAAGATAGTAGGTCTTTCATATTTTCTTGTGCGGAACTGGATGTTTTGTTGTTGTAAAATTTTGACTTGATAGACATGGTTTAATGTTGGTGCTATATTTTCTTGTTCAGGTTGTTCCATCGATAGCCATTGCATTTGTGACGTATGAGGTGGTGAAGGATGTTTTAGGAGTCGAGATAAGAATATCAGACTGAAGCATGTGCTATTCTGTGATATTTGTTCAACAAGTGTGCTATTTTTGTAGGCAAGGGGATATAGAGAAGGTAAAGTAGAGGGATAATTTCTTGCTGTTGTCACTAAGAATGAGTTTAGATAAACGTTGGAGCCCGTGTTTATAAATTGCCTTTATTTCCTATCTATATTTTCCTATGAACATTATGTACCTCTCAGCTTCCCATTTATATGCTGTGTCAATAAAGTCATGGTGAAGGAACATGCGAGAAATGCATTTGCCTACCTCTCAATAACAATTCAGAGGTCAATGTTCTGTGACCCTTTATTGATTCTTTTAAGTGATCTCTCTCTTCATTTAAATAATTGAACATGAATGCTAGTAGTAACATCAAATTGACACGAAGAACTTGTGGAGATAAAACGATTGATGCTTGATTCAACTCAATATTTAGCATCCCTTTTATCTATCGAGTATGAACCGTTTCCAGTCTGAAATGAGTTGACCAATTGCATTTGGTTTTGGGATAATTTTGCGCCTTGTTACGGCAGGTCTGATGTGTGGGATTGCTTGCCGTTTATTGATAATCTCTAATCTGATTGTTACTCTTATTGATAAACCTGGTTTTATGTAAGCTGAACTCTTAAGCTATTGGTTTTCGTTTCCCATATTAAGTTTTAATTTTGTTTTGATTTCTTTTATAAAAAGCTCGGTAGACCTCTACTTAACACATGGTATGAGCCTGTTTTGGGGAAGCGCCTATTGGTTTCTAAGGTCCTTGTTCTTTTATCTCTGCAAAATATTCGTTTACATCAGTTATAAATTGTTAGAACGGTTTACTTTTGGGAAATGGATGAGAACAGAGAAATTTTGATCAAAAAAAAAAAAAAAAAAAATCATAAATATACAAGTATGATGATGGAATAGCCAAAGGAATGATGGTTTATTTTCCTTATTTACAAAGAACGAATAATCATCCCAAGGACCCCATACACTATATATATTATGTCGTCAGTGAGCCTGGGGTATATATGTGTATAAATAATTTTATCAGAAGATTTGTGTTTCTTTGCCATGCATCGACTCTGCTGCCACGCTGCTTCTCTACATTCTGTTTGCAATGCCTGGACGCAATAAAAACTATGCCTTATAAATCTAAAAAATTCCTCTATATATTCTTCCTTTTAGCACCTTTCATTTAACACAATAGAATATGTAGTAAAATGGATGTGAGAAAGATGATTTTTAGAAAATATTACCGCAAATCCCTGATAGCCTGAAACCTGGGTGGTGCTCGTCTTACAAATTTGACTTCATTTGTGTCCTTTCTTTTAGTGTGTAATCTCGCTTCATTATCTTTAACTATATTTTTCCTTTCCTCAACAAAATTTAAGCGATCATCGTCGGATGCAGAGGATAATGAAAGAACCATCATAATGAGGTTTAATTCAAGTAGAGCAGATGCGTCAGGTTGCAGTGAATGATCGTTGTGTAACCCATTCTCTTCCAAATTACTTCACGCCTCGATTCTTGTACGTGTTCCGTTATTTTTGGATTTGCCATACTGTATTCTGATAAACTGAAGAAAAACTAAATTACAATTCATCAAATCTTTTCCTTCTTCAACTCTGTATTGAAGTCAGTCGTACGAAGTCATTCATTAGGCTAGCTGAAGTGACTGGAAATATACCTGACAAAATACAGCTAGCTAAGTTGACGGATTTAAAACCTTGGCATGCAAGCGGTTTCATGTTGTTTGATAAATTTCTTTATACATAATTACATATAGATTTTTTGGTTTGAACAGGTAGCTAAGAATGAATAATGTTAGTCCGTGGGTAGCAAGTAAAGAGTGGGTGAAAATGGGTAGAGTCAATGTTGGCTGTAAGACTTATGGAGAAAGTGGACAGACTTAAATGCCAATCACAACCTTCTTTGGTGAAAGCCCATATCGTACCATCAATTTAAACAGCGGTTTTGGTGGTAAATTGAGGCTTCCCTTAAATTTAGTTTTGCTGCTTGTCTGTTTTCAATGTCAATAATTGGGTGGGCATTTTCCATTTGACTGGACTCTTCTCTAGCCCTTTTATTCATGGACTATGGCAGACTCCAACTAGGAGGCAGCAGCCTCAAGCTTTGGGTTTCTCAATGAGTACGGTTGGATCAACAATTGGCCTATTTTTTATTCTAAATTTCACAAAAGAAATGCATATTGTTATTTTTTATTTATGGTATATTTGAATATTTGTTATAGTAATGTTACCTCTACACCATCTTTTATACTATTTTCATTATATTATGATGTGATTATATGTAATTTTAATTATTTAAAATTTTTAATAATATAATAAAATGATTATTAATAAAATAATCATTACGTAAAAAATAGTGTAAATATAATATGGGCATAAATAATAGTAATCAACGATTTGCTTACGTGTCTCATTTAAGGTCACTCAACCTTCTTGAACCCTCTGCCACTTGCCCACTGGGTATTATGTCATCCTCATTTTCAAATAACTCAAAATTTTCAGATACTACATCCCACTCGTGTCCTGTTGAGCATATTACAAAAACACCTCACACCTGTATGCATAAGATCACCGAATACATCTCTCTTTCAATTGGATGAGGTATTGTCACGTGCGACCCTGTCCACCAATAATTTCATCAGATCAAACGGATAAGATTTGTAGTCACCTACTATCAGAAAAAGGAATTACATAGAGCGGGTAATCGTGTCCCAAATACGTACGATGTAGGGTCCCATTTGTCTAGCTTTATCATTCCATTCCCATCCACATCTCCTATCGCCTTAGAATCACTTCTCAATCGTATCCCTTGCATGATCACCACGTGGCACGTCCTTTTGTCGTTGATAAAAAACTGGGTATTGGCTGTCCCTGTCATTTTAATTTGCTACATAATTTTCATTTAACGGTGCAATCACCCGACGCTGCCTTTTCCTTTATGGAAACTGTGATCAGTGAGTGGCATGTTCGGTAAATAAAGAGAAAATCAATGTCGTTTGAATTAAAAAAAAATCTTGAAATATGTTTTGGCTGCTTTTATTTTTTATTTTTTCGAAACAGATCTGGTGGTGGTGAAGGGTCTGAGGCTGAGCTAAANAACGGTGCAATCACCCGACGCTGCCTCTTCCTTTATGGAAACTGTGATCACTGAGTGGCATGTTCGGTAAATAAAGAGAAAATCAGTGTCGTTTGAATTAAAAAAAAAAAAATCTTGAAATATGTTTTGTATTTTTTCGAAACAGATCTGGTGGTGGTGAAGGGTCTGAGGCTGAGCTAAAAAATGCAATCTCAATTCTACACCAATGGTGTATGGATAATAATATTAAAGAAGTGAATTAAAAATTTTATTGGTCAGATAAAGAGCGTAAAGTTTCGAATTAAAAATTTTATTGGTCAGATAAAGAGCGTAAAGTTTCGAATTAAAAATATCTGAAAGATACTCGATAAGACGCTTTTTGTTGTTAACATATATTGATACTGTTTGGTGGCTCTGGAATATGGAGAGGATATTTTTTTCCTTTTCTGGCAATTCTGTGGCCTCTCCTTTTTTTCCGCTTTAAATTGTTTTCTCCAATCATAATTGGTCTTGTTGGCACATTTTCACTCTCTGTAATTTCATTCCATGGTAATCATTTTGATTTTCAATTTCATGAATATTATTACTCCTGCTTATTTAGTGACTTACTCTTTTGTAGTTTGATCATTGCAAGAGTTTTAGCATAAATTACCTTTTCTTTACTCGTGGTTGTGTGTCTATGTGTTTTCTTGGTTAATGTGAGCTTTAATCCTGTTTTTCAGTTGCTTATAGATTCATATACTATCGTTACATTTCAATTGATTTCAGTTCACCGCTTGTTGAGCATGTGATCTTTAGCTTGTTATTCTGCTTTATTTTTTATTTTTAAACTGAACTCAGCGCTCTTAAATAAAGAACCTTTAAGTGATCTTTATTTTGGCATCATTTAATTGTCATTTCTTTTTCATCTTCTACGTGGGGATGTTACCAAAACTATGCTCCTACTGTTATATGAATATATACATAATTCCCATGAGCATGCGGCAAATATGATAGATGATTGGTTTTTGGTATACTTTTGATTTAATTTTTGTGTCTATCATTAATTCTTTGTATTTTCGACTGGCAGACCATCTGTGCTGCAAATTAAACCAGTTGGTTGAATGTGGCTTGTTTGGATGACATGGACCAAGTTGGGGAGGACGTGTCTGCAAATGATATAAGTGGGAATGCTCAACTTAAAAGAATAGAACGCAATCTTTCCTTAAAATTAGATGGTCATAATATGTTAGAGTCACCAATAATTATTGGTGCATCTGCGAGGGAAGGTTGGCCAGAGAGCTCAATCCATAATTTTACCAATACTATAGAGGCTTCTTTGGCTGCATCTGAACCCCCTTGCAGTAGCCCTTGTTCTATGAATGACAGGCTTGCAGTGGTTGAAGAGTTGACAGTGGGAAATTACAGGACAGGTAATTCAGATATAGTTAGTAGCCCAAACAGTTCAAGGCAGGGCCAGTGGCAACAACTACATCTTTTAGCAAGTGGGTCTGGATACAAGGGTTTGCATAGAGACTCTATGTCCCAAGAGAAAGATCGAGTAATGTTGAGCGTCAGAGAGCAGTTTAGGAAGATGTCTTCTGATGTACAAAGTCCTAATTATTTGTCAAGAAAGCAAATTAATAAAGCGCCAGAGGAAGTTTCTCCATATTTAAGGGCAAGGGACAATATGATCGTCTCGAGCAATACGCCACCATTTGGGAATACTCAATTGAAACCGTCATCTACGAATACACCTGGCTTTTCACAGTTATTTATAAAGAAAACTTTGAAGGGAAAAGGGGTTATTAGCAGAAACCCTGACACTCGAAGAGACCTTGGCAGTGCAGTTGTGAGGCAGAATGATGAAAAACTTGGTTGTCTATCTTCTAAGGTTGTTTCTGATTCATTGTTTAAATCTTGTGCCAATTATGACATGATTTCTTCCCATGGGGTTAATAGGCTTGGTCCTGAATCTTTACACGCTGGCATTTGCTTGAGAGAATGGCTTAAATCAAGGAGTCGGAAAGGAGAGAAGGTTGAAAGTCTGCATATATTTAGGCAGATTGTGGAGTTGGTGGATTCTGCTCACTCTCAAGGCATTGCCTTGCAAGACTTACGGCCATCCTATTTCTATTTAAGTCCATCAAATAGGGTTATATACACTGGTTCATCTGCCAAGAGAGAACCGAATTTTGTTGTGAATCAGGATTTGGGAAAGAAGCGGTCACTGGAACAAGACATGCAAGTGCACTGTAATTTAGCTGTGAAGCAGCAAAAGCTCAGTGATGACATAAAATCTGTTACACACCAGGTCCATTTCTTCTCCAGTAGTAGTTCTAGGACTAAGAAATGGAATGAGACCGATTTTCATGTAAATGATCCTCAGATTTCTGAATATGTTGAACCCAATTCTCAAAATGCACTCACCTGCTCGAGTATGTTGTCTACAAAGGATCAGCAGTCTTTTGTTGCAATTGCTCAGCTGGAAGAGAAGTGGTATATTAGTCCAGAGGAGCTCAATGATGCAGGTTGTACGTTTTTGTCTAATATCTATGGCCTTGGGGTTCTTCTTTTTGAGGTGAGGGGACATATTTGTTGAATTGTTTATTAAAATATTTTTATTTTGAGATTTATCCTATGGGTCTCGTTTCTTGATATGTTATCTGTTCTTTTTTACTTGGTTTAAATCAATGTCATATGTGTCTATGCTCGCTTTGCAGAGTATGAAAGATGAAAACCACAATATTTCTCAAGTCATCTAGGCCTCAATTCCCAATTAGTTGGATAATTAAATTTGGAAAACCAGAATGAACTTGAAATTGGTTTTAGTCAGTCACATGCGAGATCTTTTAACATGTATTTTCTATTTTCATGTTCTTGTTGTAGAGTTTTATCCAATCTATCTTGTTCAGATACACAAATCGTTTTGTTCTTTACGTTCCAATTTGAATAATCCAATCTACTTTTCTCAACATGCATCTGAAAAAGGTTTTTCTACTACCACTGAATGGGCATCAACGACTTTCACTTCACTCAGTTCACATTTAGATTATTTAGTTCTTTACTATTTTTCTCTGTTATTCTTTTACTTCTTATACTCCATGATATTAGTATGAAAAACCTACCTTTCAAACTAACTTGAACCATTTCTGTCAGTTGCTGTGCTATTTTGAATCAGCGGAGGTGCATTCTGTTTCGATGTTGAATTTGCGCCATCGGATTCTCCCACCAAATTTTCTTTCAGAAAATCCAAAGGAAGCTGGCTTTTGTCTTTGGCTTCTTCATCCTGAACCTTTATCTCGTCCAACAACTAGGTATACTGTATCAAACAATTTATATATCTTTTAAATATGTAGTATATACACTTTTATTAATATCATAGCTATTAATCAAAGTTCAATCTCAATGCTTGTATCTTTACTAGAAGATTAGCATATACGGTGTCTATTTGGAAGTATGTAATGATTTGTGTAGGCTATGGAAACACTTTCATTGCATGGACTTTAGTTTCAGGTCCCAGCAAGAAATCTTCAAGCATGATTAAAAAATGAAAGCAAAACATGGTTGGAAAAGGGTATAAAGTTTGCGAGATTTTGTCGTTGTAGCTAGATGAATGGGTTATTCATAGATGAGGACATATATATTCGCGTGCGAATCCATATACCAGTAGATTCTGATATGAGCTGGCTTGCCATATTATAATTAAAATTTCTATCATATAACAAGTATAATCATATGTGCTTCATTTTTCTAATTTGTGGGTTCCAACATGTTGCATTGCAGCACGATTTGTAGGTAGATCCTATTTGTATTTATTTGTGAAATATGTTTATTTGTGATACATTCCATAACATGTTTCCTGGTTTGCAACAGGGAAATTCTGCAGTCTGACTTAATATGCATATTACAAGAGTTGCATTCCTGTGATGATATGTTAATATCTGCTGATGATGATGAAGCTGAATCAGAGCTGTTGCTTAATTTTCTAGTTTCATTGAAAGAACAAAAGCAGAAGCACGCTTTCAAATTAGTTGATGATATAGGGTGTTTGGAAGAAGATATTAAAGAGGTTGAGGGAAAGCACTTGCAAAAGATATCCTCTGTGTTTCCTCAGACACACAAGAAATGTTTTAATGCCACAAAACAGGGCTTTTGTTTTGAAGATCCTATAACTTCTGCTGCAGTTTCTCAGCCATTTTCTGTTTCAAGTAGGAATGAGGCGAGGTTGATGAGAAATATCAGTCAGCTTGAGGATGCCTATTTCTCTATGAGATCCCAAATTCGACTTACAGCAACTGCCGCTACTGCTGGGCATTCTGATAAAGACTTGCTTAAGAGTAGAGACAGGTGGTCTGAGTTGCAAAATGGGAATGAGTCAAACATGGCTCAGAAATCTGATGATCGTCTTGGAGCATTTTTTGAAGGTTTGTGCAAGTTCACCCGCTATAGCAATTTTGAAGTGTGTGGGACATTAAGAAATTGAGATCTTCTGAATTCTGCTAATGTGATTTGTTCTTTAAGTTTTGACCGTGATGAGGAGTACATTGCTGTGGCTGGGGTATCAAAAAGAATCAAGATTTTTGAGTTTAATTCACTTCTGAGTGGTTCTACTGATATCCATTATCCTGCTGTTGAGCTGTCAAACAGATCTAAGCTTAGCTGTGTTTGCTGGAACAATTACATTAAGAACTATTTGGCTTCAACTGATTATGATGGTGTAGTTCAGGTGTGTGTTCACTGGCTACTAAAAGTTGCACATATAATCCACTATCATGTTGTATTTTATTTTGTGTATGTTAAAAAATCCATCATTAGGTGGGTTTGTCTTGCCAGCTGCAGCAGTTGTTCTAAAGTAGTAATATCTTCTTACTGAAATCCACATTTGTTATTGATGTATTTTACTGGTTTCTTGAATTTATTCTATGGTTTCTATGTTCAAAGCATGAAAAATAATTGTTTTGCAAGTGTTTTTATCATTAATAGTTGACTGTCATGCTTACCAGAATATTTCTATGTTGATCTTCAAGGAACTAATCATTGTTAGTGTTTCAAGTATGGTAATGACTGAAAAATGTACGCTAGGAGGATTCGTATAATCAGATCACGAGCATGAAGTAAATAAAGAATTTTTAATGGATCAGGTTTGTTTGAAACCCAACCTGTGGCTACAGGAAATAGTAACAACCGGTTTAAATTCTTTTGCATAATTTTTCTTTATTTCATATAAATCGAAAGCTATACTATTGAAAATGAAGAAAAGTTAGTGAGTAGTGTCCTGATGTCTGAGCACCTGTGCTTGGGGGATTACTCTTGGAAGGTAACTAATTAAAATATATGGTTGGACTTGGAATTGAGGCTGTACCAATTACTTGCTGAGCACAACTTAATATGCTGAGCAGGTGGTCTGAGTTGCGAAGCCCGGAAGTTCTATATTAGAGTAGAGAGATGTACATTTTTGAATTTGTTTTCAAGTATGTGTAGTAGCCTAAATTTTTTTTTTAGTGAATTTTTACTTCAAGATTTTTATGATTGCTACTATTGTAGATTTCATTAAGTTATTGTTTTTTTTCTTTTTTTCTTTTTTTCTTTTGGGCCTTTAAGTCAATGTTTATAGAAGACCAATTAAATTATTATTTCCTTTTTTTGGTTCATGTTGTTCACTATTGTACTTAAATAGTATATGCATGGGTGTATTCCAGATGTGGGATGCGAGCACTGGTCAAGGATTCTCTCAATATGCAGAGCACCAGAAGAGGGCTTNTCTGAGTTGCGAAGCCCGGAAGTTCTATATTAGAGTAGAGAGATGTACATTTTTGAATTTGTTTTCAAGTATGTGTAGTAGCCTAAATTTTTTTTTTAGTGAATTTTTACTTCAAGATTTTTATGATTGCTACTATTGTAGATTTCATTAAGTTATTGTTTTTTTTCTTTTTTTCTTTTTTTCTTTTGGGCCTTTAAGTCAATGTTTATAGAAGACCAATTAAATTATTATTTCCTTTTTTTGGTTCATGTTGTTCACTATTGTACTTAAATAGTATATGCATGGGTGTATTCCAGATGTGGGATGCGAGCACTGGTCAAGGATTCTCTCAATATGCAGAGCACCAGAAGAGGGCTTGGTCTGTCGACTTTTCTCAAGTTGCCCCTACAAGTTTTGCTAGTGGAAGTGATGACTGTTCTGTGAAACTGTGGAGCATTAATGAGGCATGCTATCCCTTGTATCTTCTAATTTGTAGCCTAAAATTCCAAGATACTGTTTTTTTAACATTTTAGAGTAACAAATGTTAGAATTCTAATTATCTCCTTTTGTTCTCTCTCTCTCTCTCTCTACTTTTCTCTGGGGGTTTATATTCTTAAGGCTTAATGAGAAAAAGGTGAAAAAAAACAAATTATGAAAGTGACCTAAACATAAGAATAAATCTTTTCACGCTAAGAGTATGTATTATGTAGCAACATATGAGTTTTCCTATCTTTTCATCCATTTATGGATGCTGTAACTTACCATTAAAAATCTCCACATCTCCTGGCTGGTCTCTTTTGATATTGATTGATCAGATTGTCAATTTCTTTTATTGGGACTTTGCATATCCTTGTCAGTTTCTTTAATTATGACTGCAAATTTAGCAACTATTGACCGTATATCAAACCTATGTTTATGTACCATATGTGAAATGCAGGCTGGTATTGGAACTTCCTCCTTCATTTCCCTCGCTTCAGACACTTCTTATTCTCTTATTTGAAATTTTTTGTATTGCTTGGATGTTCCTTTGTTGCCCTTTGGAAGTTTAATTTACGAATTATGGAAAGAAATAAGAAATTGACTTCCTATTGCTTGTGCAGAAAAATTCTGTTGGCATCATCCGGAACCCTGCCAATGTTTGCTGTGTTCAGTTCTCTTCTTTCTCTCCTCATTTGTTGGTTTTTGGATCTGCTGATTATAAGCTCCACTGCTATGATATTCGAAATACAAGGATTCCTTGGTGCACTCTAGCTGGCCATGAGAAAGCTGTTAGCTATGTGAAATTTTTAGATTCAGAAACCCTGGTTTCTGCATCAACAGATAACACCCTAAAGCTATGGGATCTTAGAAAAAGCAGCCCATCTGGGCTGTCCACTGGTGCTTGCAGCTTAACTTTCAGTGGCCATACAAATGAGAAGGTTGGTTACCCTAGATTTGATAAAATTTTTGATAATGTAGCAAGTTCGTAGTTCTATTTGGACAAATTTGTATAATTCTTAATTTTTCTGCTTGCTCAGAATTTTGTGGGTTTATCTGTTTTGGATGGATACATAGCATGCGGATCAGAATCTAATGAGGTAAATGTTTTTGTATTGCAATGTGATTGTATCACTTTTAAATTTATCTATACTAGCCAGTTCTTTTTTTAGGAACAGCTTGGTTGTGCATTTAATATGTGTGCAATGAAGCTGGGGCTTAGTTTTTAAGTCTTGGACTCACTCTAGACCAAATTGCATATGGGATTTTTGCTCTTTAGCTAATACTTGTTTGCCACATGAATGCAAATACTTTGTAATCAAGTTTCATAAATCCACAAAAATGATTGAGACAGACTTCCTCCATCATCTGTCAATACCAATCACTTCTCACAAATTTGAAGTTTCTTTTTATTTCACTTATTTTATCAGAATTACACCCTTATACTTAGGTTCTAACAATTTCTGTTGCGATGCATCTTAGGTTTATAGTTATTATAGATCTTTGCCAATGCCAATCACATCTCACAAATTTGGATCCATTGATCCTATTTCTGGACTCGAGAGTGGTGATGATAATGGACAGTTTGTTTCAAGTGTGTGTTGGAGACAGAAGTCAAACATGGTTGTTGCAGCAAACTCAAGTGGATGTATAAAACTATTGCAATTGGTGTCATAAAAGCTGCTTCTCTTTAGATGACCTAGAATTCGGCTGTACTCTCTTCTCACAAGTAGTTGTCTTACATCTTCTTGGCGTTAAAACTTAGTCAGAACTGGGAGCTTATACATGTTGAAGACTAAACGAGGGAGTTAAGCTCTCAGCTGCTACTTAATGCCGTGGATAGGCTTGCACAAGACTGGTATAGTATTTCAGCCTTCTGGCAGTTACAATCAGAAATCTCTTTTTGTAGCTAGCTACTCCTGCAAGGTGTTTCTCTATTTGAAAACCATGCTGAGACCTTTCTATTAAGATCAAAATGGAATGGAAGTTGGCTACGAGGAACATCACTTTTTAAAAACAAATGTATGGAGCTGCATCAATTTTACGAACTGGAGGTCAAGTGATTGAAGATCTTGTTACCTTTGGTTCATTGCCTAGGCAAAAACTTGATCATGGATTGATTATAAAGGTGGACCGAAATTGGATTACTGGATGAGCTGCAGTATCAAGAATTGTGCATGAGCACATGCCGTGTACAGGAAAATAGTTTGTCAGCAGACTGATATGCAGATCATTCCCTGGTGCAGTGGTAAATGCTTGGGCTAGAAGCTCAAAACTGCAGGTTTAGCTTTGTGAGGGTCAACATTTTCGTGGAGAAAACAGCTGAAGTAGACCATTTCAATATCTCCTCTGCCAACACCATACTATGGCTAGGCCAAATATCTGGGTAATGGATTATGGATTTTTTTGTGTACTGATACAGAAAAGGAAAGTAAATTCTTGAACTTAAACTTTTAAGAAAGGCCTGTGATTGCTCCTCAAAACTGTGCATTCTCTTGGCTAGGGTGTGCAATCTTTTCAATATTCAAGGGAGTAAATTCATATTTTTACTAAAGGAAATTTTCTTGATGTAGATGAAAGTTTTGTCATTTCTTGTATAATCAAGTTAGTTTTTGCTCAATATAATTCCTTCCCGCCGTCGTTAAAGCAAAGTTCCCCTATAATATGTTATTTAGCAACTTCATTACGTGACATGTTGATCTTGTTTTCCATGCATTGAATTCTTTTCTTTGACAATATATAGCTGAAAAAAATTGAATGATATAGAAAAGATAATGGCTGTTCAGCAGAAATAATTAAGTATACAGGTTGAAAGATTCATAAGTGCAGCTAAAATATTCCTGCTGTACCAAACTGGCTACCACAAGAATTCGACGCAACAAAGCCCCCTCTCCACGTATTGTTGGCTAGAAAAATGCTAATAATCCATTTGCACGTCCACTTGATCTCTGAGAATCAGGGTAAAGTTTTAACATATATTGAGGCAGTACGATATTTCAGTTTCTAGGAGAGCTCCGAATCTGACATATGGCCAGAAGGTGTTTGCGGCTTTGTTGGACTCATTACCATTAGCTGACTTTCGGAATTCATTCTTAAGCTGCGCCCACAAGGAGTCAATTGTGGAGGTCTCACCACTAGTAGTTCTTTCTTTGATGTCCCTGTGAAACCAAACCCACAAGATATATTATGCTATCCCTAATCATTCCCAAAAAAAAAAAAAGAAATGGATGATCGATAATGATGAAAGTTGGAGCTAGCTAACCTGGTTTATTTGCTTTCACTTCTGAAGATTTTTTCGACACAGGGAGTTTCTTGTTCATAGCTTCAGGTGAAGGTAAGAACTTCCTTTCAGTTACAGGTGGATATGGTTCCTCCATTGTGTTAGCATTTTCATCCCCACTAATCGAAGCTTTATCACTTCCTGATTCTGATGTATTAGGAGTTGCAAATACTCTTCCTTTTTCCTCAACTTTATAAGCAAACATCTGAAATGGGATTTCTGTTATTGGTAAAGGATTAGGTGTATCCCAATAAAGGAATTTGCTGCTTAAAAGCCTCAACTCGAGGTCACAGTAATCGACTAGTGGCATAGGTGGGTCTTGTTGGCTATTATAATCTGGGTTCATCACAACGAACCTTTTTATGTAGCGAAGAATCCTACAAATGGAAGAGAAGGTGGGCCTTTGACTTGGGTCAGTATGCCAGCATCTCTTTGTCAAGTTTGTGACATATTTTGGCGAATGGAATGGGAACAAAGGCCTCTCTCCTGCCCTGATGTTCCGGCTCATTTTGTCTCCTTGTAAATGGGCATCTTCAAATGGGACTTTCCCTGTCAGAAGCTCAAAGCACACCATTCCAAAACTGTAAACATCGGATTTTTCTCTGTACTTCAAACTCCCAGTACTTCCTGTTTGTTCTTGTTGTTCTAGAACTTCTGGAGCATACCATATGAATGGGAGGGGTCCATTTTGAGTTGAAGGACTTTTCGGTGTGAATTTTTTAACGGAAGATAGGCCAAATCCTGATACTTTGGCGTGCAGATACCCGCCAGTGAAGGTGCCTCTCGATTTAACAAGAATGTTAGAAGGATTTAAATCACCATGGTATATTTTCTTAGAGTGGAGGTATTCCATTCCTCTAGCAATTTGAAGCATAAGATCAATGGCAACAGGAAGAGAAAATGGAATTCTTCTTCTTGGGCAACATATCTCTTTGACGCAACTTTGAAGGTCTCTACTCATTAGTTCCATAACCAGAAAACACTCTTTCTTTTCCTCATCAGTAAACCCACACAGGAAGTGCAAGATATTTGTGTGTGAAAGAGATAATAGCGAAGAAATCTCGGGAACTAAGGGTGCAATGTCCCCAAAAAAGTGTCTTAAGGCAAAGCTTTCACCCAACCATAGGATCTCCTTGTATTGGCTCCCATTACCTAGCCGCCGCCTCACCTGGTAGTCCCCGGACTTAACTAGGATTTTACATGGTAATAGTTTCCCACTTAGAGGCTCTGACCCATCTAAGTTTTTGAAAAGGAGATCTATAAGTTGACGCCCCTGCTTTGTTGTACCTGACATTTTCTTTTCCTGGATTTTGCTGAGAAGGATCCACCTATCCTCTTTCCAAACTGTGTCAATCCTATTACAAAAATCTGGAGTAATAATGTACTGCTTTGCAAATTTCCATTGGAATAGTTTTGGGTCTTTCCATTCTTTTCTGTATTTGTAGGAGTGTACAAGTCTTTTCTTTTGCATTTCATCATGATCCCATCCGGAGATTTCAGCTGCAATTTCGATTGCTTCAATTACAATTGGAATGCAGCTAAGTAAGTTGTGGATGTAGAACTCAATGCAGTCTGTGTTCTGATAGAGAATGATAGCTTTAGCCCACCACTCCCGGCTTTCCAGGCACTGTTTAATATAGATCTCAGCTTCTCTGAATATCCTGCGAAGCTCTTTTAAGGGTTGTTCCAGGACTTTCCATTTGATGTGCCTCTCTTCAAATCTCAGGTTCTGTCTTATCTCTTCCGCTATTGAATCATAAGCAAAACTGAAGATATCTACCAACAAACAGCATTGCCTCTGATTGATTTGGATGTTGTCTTTAAATACCATTAGAGCCTTTAAACTTCCGAGCGCCTCTCCGATCTGCCCGAATTGCTCCATTCCAGACAAACCCTATATATCTGAAATTCAATTTTCAAGTAATGTTTTACTATTCAATTGAATGAAATTTCACATAATTCACTATCATGCATTGTGATAGATATCAGATACATGGATCACAATAAGTAATGCTATAACCTACCACAGAAAATAGCAAAATGGGAAATAGAATTAAAAAAAAAAAAAAAATTTGTTGTTTCCAATGTAGTTCTTCTGTTTTTCAGGAATCGGCATAAATCAAAATGGGGTCCTCCCAAACCAAGGAGGACCAGAGAAACCAAATGTTTCTGGGTTTCGATTATGGGAAGCCTATCACCACTAAAAATTGTCTAGAATCCCGGTCACCATGCACAAGAATTGGTGACTGAGGATTGAATTCTTCGTTTGTTTAAAAAAAAAATATATCCAAACGATGACTCTGTGCAAATGGTGAGAGATTCGAGAATTGGGAATTTTGTTATGAAAATGTCTGATTGCGGATAAGCTTTTGGAAGAAAAGTATTCAAGCCCTGCCAGCTTATTTTAGTTGAAACTGTGGTTTGGCTGGTTGTTAAAACTTAAAATTGTCCGCGGTTGTGTAAAAGGGTTCCCGCGAGTTTCGAAGTTCCAATTCAATTTACCGTTACTTGTGCACGCGCCATTTGACGGTTAACCTAAGCCATACTCTTTTTTCCTTTTGAGGCACTTGAACACAGCTGTCATGTATAACTGTAATGATTGTTTCATTGTCAAAAATAAATATTTTGTATTCATAGAAATTGATTATATTTAACAAGCAATTTCATTTAATTGGTTAAAAGAATAAAAGAAAAAACACAGTGCTAGCGTACAACGTTAGAACCATGGGCATTTAACTGGAATGATTGAAAATCGTTGTCGTTCAACAATTATTAGAAAATGAATAGTCTCTTTACTGGCTGTAAAATGAAATTGAAGTAGCAAATGCTTTAATGGTGCTTGGGATTCGTAGCTTTACTTCTCACCATTTTTTTCCCATCTCTTTCTTTTAGGATTGAAAAAAAAGGAAAGGAATTATTAACAATGTTCATGACATGCTCAAGGCTTCTGTTTGCTTGCAAGATATTCAATTAAATTGATTGAGCATCTTCTAGCTTTCATTTTTTTATTCATGTAAAGAAAATTAAAGGAAAGAAGATAAAAAAAGAACATCTAGACGGGCGGGCCAACCGGCCAAGTTGTAATCATCAATGGACGAGCACACAGACATCGTACAGTTTGATTGTGCCGATAAAATTAAGAGAAAAAGTTAGGGTTAGGGTTAAACAAAATTTAAGGAAAATAAACTGTAAATTGAAACAACAAAATCCTGTTATTAAGATCTCTAGCTTCTGTTGCCTATTGTCGCCATTAACCACCCACCGACAACAATGGCCAATTAAAGCCATTATAAGTGGTCTATATTTCTTTCAGTCATTCTAAGCTTGTATTTCTTTACAACCAATCAGGCTCTTTGAACAATGGAGGGGTAAGTTTCAGATTATGTACGGTTGATCACTAATCAACTCAACTTTCTTTTAGAAATTCTAATAACCAGTCATTTCGAGTGCAACTGTGTTAATGGTGTAACAACAACCACAATTCACAGTATCCTACCTACATTATTAAAGGCCCTTTGATTTGGGGCAACTGCTGGCAATGTCTGATTCTTCATTTAAAGGAATGAACTTGTGGACAAGAATCACTCGAGGAATAAAAGCGCTTAGGTTCATAGGTGCATTCTGTACACTTGACAAATTGCTATTGGTGCAATTGTTATGAGACTTAAACCTGGTTTTAAATCAGTCAAAGTGATGGTTAGCCATCGCTTTCCCTCACCAGCACAAGATACCAATTCAATTACTATGGAATATGGATGCGAGTCTATTTGGTTATCATAAAACACAGTGTTACATGTACCCGTTAACAAATTTTGAAAAACAAAACAAAAAAGAAATCACGATTTGCAGGTATTCAAAGATACGTTGTCATTTGAAAGATCCTTGCTCTGGCAGCTGAATCATTATAATGAAGGAGCTTCTAGTGGGCCTAACTCATGAAGAGGGTTTGGTAGGAGAAGTTTTGAGACAATATCAGTTAAAATCTTATGGAGATTCATGAATCAGGATCGGATTGGAATGGTCTTGAAGGGAAAAAATACAGAGACAGGAAGGATTCTCATTATCTTGTAGCTTGAGTGGCAAACTTTAATGGGTGTGCATCAATTATTGGTGGACAAAACATATTGGTGAACGTAATAAATCATTTCCACTGACTTTGCTTTACTTGTATCAATAAATCCTTAATTTGGAACAACATACGTTTAGTTCTGAAATTTGAGTTGTCCTTGTTAAAAAGCTATCTTGAAATTAATTTGCCCAACTGACACTGGTTTCTGTTTTGTTGACTGATCTTAAGCCATTAATGAGCTTTGAAATTATCTTACGTTTCAGGTCATTATCCACAAATTGAAATAAGAGAAGGACTTTATTTTCAATTAATTTCTTGACAGGCATGTATCATCTCATAATTAAGCTTTGTTTTCTCAGTAGTTATTAGTTAATAATAAGTTGCAAATTGCCATATTGCATTACCTCGACAATGCTTGGCCAGTGTGTTCCACACATTCTCTCTCTCCCTCTCTCATTAAAACCTCTATAAAAAGGCTACCAAACAATTGAAGCTAACCATAGAGTTAGCCCAAGAGTCAATACTCAATAGTGACAGAAAAAGATGAGTAGAGGGGGAATGGATTCAGCGGTGAGGCCATCACCAAACATGGATGGCAGGCCAAATGGGCAGCACTCGAGGGAGAGATGCGGCCACTTTCAGATGCCATTGCACTACCCAAGATTCACCAGAGCTGATTATGAGTCCATGCCAGAGTGGAGGGTTGATTGTTTGCTTAAAGAATATGGCTTGCCAATCACTGGAAATGTTGAACACAAGAGAAAGTTTGCCATGGGAGCTTTCCTGTGGCCTAACTAGACTTATCTTCATGTGTAATCATAAGGTTGAATATTAATGCTAGTTTATTCTGTTTTCGGGTATGGTTTTTTATGTACCTTTAGTCTTGATTTTCGTCCAATGTGATAGCAATACAGGAGATGATCAAATTAAAGTGAGGTAGCGAACGCCTTAATAGCCATATCTAATGCATGCAGAAATTTTGCTTACTTTCTACTTCAAAAATATGTTTTCTGGTATAAACTCTATTGGTTTTCTACTCTTCTTCGGCGGATCTGGTTATTGTTTAGGTGCTGTACGTTGGAAATCATTGTGTGATTTATTTCTGATTCCCCACTTGTGGCGTGATTAATTATGATACAGGGGAAGGAAAACAAACTCTAGCTACTGTGCTCCTATTCGAAAACATAGGGAAGGAGAAATTTATGACCTAAGTTTAAAAATTCGGGAAAATTAATTAAAACACCATTTCAAGTTTAAAATTAATTAAATAACCATAAAATTTAAAACTCTTTACTAAATAAACACTCGCTTAAGCGATAAAGGTTTATCGCTTAAGCGATATAATCTTATCTATAAACTTATCTCTTGAGTGATATATATTAAATCACTTAAACGATGAAGTTCATAGCTATTTAATTTATTCTAAACTTGAGAGTAAGAAATATATGATGATCCTTATGCTAATTTTGTTTAAACTCCCATATTACTGTAATGTTATCAACTAAAAGCATGACCTATCTATGATGCTAAATTGTTCATGTAAAAAATGAGAAAGACTTTGAAACCTATCATTGATCATCATCCAAAGATGTCTCTTTAAGGTTGAACTCATTTTGCAGTTTGCCGAAGTTTTTCTTGGCAAATTGGGGATTGTAATTTGAAATAAATTGCTCTCCATTTATTTGTCTTCATAATAATGATAATTATACTTTCACATTCACCTATTAAAGTTATGATTGACGTGTCCGGACCAGCTTATACAAATCTCAACTAATCTTCTGAAGTTTTGAAGTTAACGATTGAGTAAACTTACAATAGTTACCCCTACTAGCAGTCGAATGAATCAAACTCAAATATCTTAAATAATACATTTAAATGTCATAATTAACCACTTAGCCATTCAATGATGGTTATGAGTGCAAAATATTTGAACTAAAGCCGATATGAATGATTTATGAATAGATACATACATATACAAATACCATGCTTGCAAGCACATGGGGATAGGTCGGATTGAACAATTATATTTACAAAATATTACAAACCAGTCAATATGCAATCATTCATTTTCCTCAAAAATTGACGGTCTCTACTTTATAATGACATCGCCACTGTCTCTATATAGTTGCTAAATTGAAAACTCTTGAAACAGAAAACCAATTTTAATAACAACCAGAACCAGCCATACGAGTGACAGTGTGTCCTGAAAATTTTAGACTTATATATAGTTACTAACAAGAAGTATAGTTGTTTAATCATACTGTTATTTTTCTTGGGTGAAGAATTGATTGGTCAGCAATGATATGTGAAAACTATGATGATGACCGTTTAGCTTTGGTTTTAGGCATCGAAGTCGCTGTTCCACATAAATGCTTTATAATGAACTTAATTTTTTGTTACAATCGGTTTCTAGAGGAAGTTCTAACACAGATTGTCCAGCTCTCTCTCTCACTGAAACCACTATAAAAAGACCTCCAAGCTGCATTAATTGGAGTGTAGAAAAAGATGGGAATAGCGTCAGTGGCAAGGTCTAGGCCGCCTCTGTACCCAAAAGGGAGGTCAATTGTGCAGCGGCAGCTTTCCAACTCGAAGTACCGCCGCACCATCACCAACTTTCAGATGCCACTTCACTACCCTAGATACACCCTACCTGACTACCAAACTATGCCCGAATGGCAGCTTGATCGTTTGCTCCAACAATATGGCCTCCCAATCTCTCAAAATGTTCAAGAGAAAAGGAAGCTTGCCATTGGGACTTTCCTTTGGCCTAAATGGTGATAACAGGACATGCCCAATTTTTAATTATCTTAAGCCTCAGGATATGTTTATTCATGGAATGTCCGTGGTTTCAGTCACAGTAACCCAGTAAGGGTGGTGTTGCTGCTGTCGACTTCCAAGTTCTTGTTTCCTGTTTTCACCTATCGTAAGAAAATAGTTTGTGTGAGTATTATAATTCTCAAAATTACATTAATTATAGCCAAAGGCACGTGTTTCTAGTAACCATTTTCTCTCCTTTTTTTATTAAAAAGTTATAAGCATGGTTTTCAAACCTAGCCCAACCCGACCTACTCAACCGATTGAACCAGACATCGGTGATCGAGCCGAGTCGGTTCGACTAAAAAATCAGAATTTTCAAATGACCTAATTTGAACCACGGTTTGACTGATTTTTTTTGTTACGAACCACCAATCCAACCTTTTCGACCCAGTAGTTGAACTGTTTTTTTTATTATTTTTTTAATATGTCAGAATAATGTCATCACATTGAGTCATTAACATCAGTATGATGACCACACAGTTCGACCCGACGGTTGAACTTGTTTGACTGATCAACCCGTTGACCTGATCGGCTCACTCCCCAAGTCAAGTTTTAAAACATTGGTTTTAACATCCCATTTAATTGGATGATCCTCAGCCAAAGCATGATCCGGGTTTCTGATTCTGCCAAAAAATTTGCTTCCAAAACCCATATGTGATGAAAAACTTTTAAAGGGTAGAGACCTAATCTCATTGCGGAGCTGAGATGGTGATTTTTTGCAGCTTAGAATTGCAATTTGTTTCAACACAATACGGCGTAAGGGTTAAGCTACGACTTGAAATTTGTAATTTGGACGAGCCTGCTTTTGTGTTTTTAGCTTTTAGAAGCTTGTGCGTGGAACTACTGCAGTTGGAAGTTGTGATGTAGTGTGGGATCGTGTCAACTGGCTGTACGTTAAGTCACTTGGCCAATAGAAGCAATCCCAACCTTTACAAAATCTTTAAGCAAATTGAGGATTTTACCTTTCAAGTAATTTTTCTCTGCCTTGATAACATACAGCAACGATAACATTTCTTATAAATTCATCGCGCACACATCCACAAATTGAAATAAGAGAAGGACTTTATTTTCAATTAATTTCTTGACAGGCATGTATCATCTCATAATTAAGCTTTGTTTTCTCAGTAGTTATTAGTTAATAATAAGTTGCAAATTGCCATATTGCATTACCTCGACAATGCTTGGCCAGTGTGTTCCACACATTCTCTCTCTCTCTCTCTCATTAAAACCTCTATAAAAAGGCTACCAAACAATTGAAGCTAACCATAGAGTTAGCCCAAGAGTCAATACTCAATAGTGACAGAAAAAGATGAGTAGAGGGGGAATGGATTCAGCGGTGAGGCCATCACCAAACATGGATGGCAGGCCAAATGGGCAGCACTCGAGGGAGAGATGCGGCCACTTTCAGATGCCATTGCACTACCCAAGATTCACCAGAGCTGATTATGAGTCCATGCCAGAGTGGAGGGTTGATTGTTTGCTTAAAGAATATGGCTTGCCAATCACTGGAAATGTTGAACACAAGAGAAAGTTTGCCATGGGAGCTTTCCTGTGGCCTAACTAGACTTGTTATCTTCATGTGTAATCATAAGGTTGAATATTAATGCTAGTTTATTCTGTTTTCGGGTATGGTTTTTGATGTACCTTTAGTCTTGATTTTCGTCCAATGTGATAGCAATACAGGAGATGATCAAATTAAAGTGAGGTAGCGAACGCCTTAATAGCCATATCTAATGCATGCAGAAATTTTGCTTACTTTCTACTTCAAAAATATGTTTTCTGGTATAAACTCTATTGGTTTTCTACTCTTCTTCGGCGGATCTGGTTATTGTTTAGGTGCTGTACGTTGGAAATCATTGTGTGATTTATTTCTGATTCCCCACTTGTGGCGTGATTAATTATGATACAGGGGAAGGAAAACAAACTCTAGCTACTGTGCTCCTATTCGAAAACATAGGGAAGGAGAAATTTATGACCTAAGTTTAAAAATTCGGGAAAATTAATTAAAACACCATTTCAAGTTTAAAATTAATTAAATAACCATAAAATTTAAAACTCTTTACTAAATAAACACTCGCTTAAGCGATAAAGGTTTATCGCTTAAGCGATATAATCTTATCTATAAACTTATCTCTTGAGTGATATATATTAAATCCCTTAAACGATGAAGTTCATAACTATTTAATTTATTCTAAACTTGAGAGTAAGAAATATATGATGATCCCTATGCTAATTTTGTTTAAACTCCCATATTACTGTAATGTTATCAACTAAAAGCATGACCTATTTATGATGCTAAATTGTTCATGTAAAAAATGAGAAAGACTTTGAAACCTATCATTGATCATCAAAGATGTCTCTTTAAGGTTGAACTCATTTTGCAGTTTGCCGAAGTTTTTCTTGGCAAATTGAGCATTGTAATTTGAAATAAATTGCTCTCCATTTATTTGTCTTCACAATAATGATAATTATACTTTCACATTCACCTATTAAAGTTATGATTGACGTGTCCGGACCAGCTTATACAAATCTCAACTAATCTTCTGAAGTTTTGAAGTTAACGATTGAGTAAACTTACAATAGTTACCCCTACTAGCAGTCGAATGAATCAAACTCAAATATCTTAAATAATACATTTAAATGTCATAATTAACCACTTAGCCATTCAATGATGGTTATGAGTGCAAAATATTTGAACTAAAGCCGATATGAATGATTTATGAATAGATACATACATATACAAATACCATGCTTGCAAGCACATGGGGATAGGTCGGATTGAACAATTATATTTACAAAATATTACAAACCAGTCAATATGCAATCATTCATTTTCCTCAAAAATTGACGGTCTCTACTTTATAATGACATCGCCACTGTCTCTATATAGTTGCTAAATTGAAAACTCTTGAAACAGAAAACCAATTTTAATAACAACCAGAACCAGCCATACGAGTGACAGTGTGTCCTGAAAATTTTAGACTTATATATAGTTACTAACAAGAAGTATAGTTGTTTAATCATACTGTTATTTTTCTTGGGTGAAGAATTGATTGGTCAGCAATGATATGTGAAAACTATGATGATGAGCGTTTAGCTTTGGTTTTAGGCATGGAAGTCGCTGTTCCACATAAATGCTTTATAATGAACTTACAATCGGTTTTCTAGAGGAAGTCCAGCTCTCTCTCTCACTGAAACCACTATAAAAAGACCTCCAAGCTGCATTAATTGGAGTGTAGAAAAAGATGGGAATAGCGTCAGTGGCAAGGTCTAGGCCGCCTCTGTACCCAAAAGGGAGGTCAATTGTGCAGCGGCAGCATTCCAACTCGAAGTACCGCCGCACCATCACCAACTTTCAGATGCCACTTCACTACCCTAGATATACCCTACCTGACTACCAAACTATGCCCGAATGGCAGCTTGATCGTTTGCTTCAACAATATGGCCTCCCAATCTCTCAAAATGTTCAAGAGAAAAGGAAGCTTGCCATTGGGACTTTCCTTTGGCCTAAATGGTGATAACAGGACATGCCCAATTTTTAATTATCTTAAACCTCAGGATATGTTTATTCATGTAATGTCCGTGGTTTCAGTCACAGTAACCCAGTAAGGGTGGTGCTGCTGCTGCTGTCGACTTCCAAGTTCTTGTTTCCTGTTTTCACCTATCGTAAGAAAATAGTTTGTATGAGTATAATTCTCAAAATTACATTAATTATAGCCAAAGGCACGTGTTTCTAGTAACCATTTTCTCTCCTTTTTTTATTAAAAAGTTATAAGCATGGTTTTCAAACCTAGCCCAACCCGACCTACTCAACCGATTGAACCAGACATCGGTGATCGAGCCGAGTCGGTTCGACTAAAAAATCAGAATTTTCAAATGACCTAATTTGAACCACGGTTTGACTGATTTTTTTTGTTACGAACCACCAATCCAACCTTTTCGACCCAGTAGTTGAACTGTTTTTTTTATTATTTTTTTAATATGTCAGAATAATGTCATCACATTGAGTCATTAACATCAGTATGATGACCACACAGTTCGACCCGACGGTTGAACTTGTTTGACTGATCAACCCGTTGACCTGATCGGCTCACTCCCCAAGTCAAGTTTTAAAACATTGGTTTTAACATCCCATTTAATTGGATGATCCTCAGCCAAAGCATGATCCGGGTTTCTGATTCTGCCAAAAAATTTGCTTCCAAAACCCATATGTGATGAAAAACTTTTAAAGGGTAGAGATCTAATCTCATTGCGGAGCTGAGATGGTGATTTTTTGCAGCTTAGAATTGCAATTTGTTTCAACACAATACGGCGTAAGGGTTAAGCTACGAATTGAAATGTGTAATTGGACGAGCCTGCTTTTGTATTTTTAGCTTTTAGAAGCTTGTGCGTGGAACAACTGCTGTTGGAAGTTGTGATGTAGTGTGTGATCGTGTCAACTGGCTGTACGTTAAGTCACTTGGCCAATAGAAGCAATCACAACCTTTACAAAATCTTTAAGCAAATTGAGGATTTTACCTTTCAAGTAATTTTTCTCTGCCTTGATAAAAGACAGCAACGATAACATTTCTTATAAATTCATCGCGCACACAAGGTATAAAAACACTCGGCTCTAATTTCATGCTAATTCTTGGTTGTTTCCAAACTTAATTTGAGTTCAAAACTAGATTTCAGACAATAATAAATAAATTCAATCGTCAGGGCTTTATGAAAGAAAAAGACAAAAAAATGCTTTAATGGCCTCGAAATAATGAAAGCCCTACTAAGGCCCAGCTCAGTGTTAAAAGTAAATAAAAAAGCGTAACTAAGGGCGCATTTTAGCATAAACCAGCAAGCAACAGTTAAGTCGGCACAAACAAACTGGTGAATTCTCAGTGTATAAAAAGGAATCATCATAGGCATAAATTCCGGGATTCACCACTCCACTTATCTTTCCTTCTTCCCTCTCTTATTTATTTTTCAAAAACCCTCCGCGCCACAGTGGCAGACGAAACAAAGAATTCTCTCATTTATTTTCAACATTGATCCAAACCCTAGTTTCCGTCGGAGTTAGGTAAAAAGAAAAGGAAAAAAGAAGAGAAAATGCCTAGAGAAATTATCACTCTCCAAGTGGGACAATGTGGTAACCAGATCGGGATGGAATTCTGGAAACAACTATGCCTCGAGCACGGCATCAGCAAAGAAGGCATTCTTGAGGACTTCGCTACTCAGGTCTTTCACTTTCTTTTCAATCAATTCTTGCTTTGCTTTCAACATTTTTTAACTGATAAAAAAAATCTTCGAATTAGAACTCACCCTAACAACACACCGAGGATTTTGAAGATTTATGATCTATTGTTCAGTTTTTCCTTCTCATATTAGCAATTTTTGTTTGATTGTAGCGTCACCATCTGATGAATTTTTGTTTGGTGATGCTATGCGCAAATTTGATTATACTTGTTCTGGCTAGGGTTTTGCTAGAATTGTAGTGATTAATGAGACTGTTGTATTTGTCCTAATAAACGTGTTATAATTGTCCTTGTAAAAGTTTATCTTAAGGGTAATAATTTTTAATGTTTTCTGCCTATAAATGACCACATTGATTTTTTTCTTTGGGTGAGTTAGAAGTGTGTTTTATTTATTTAGGAAGGATGTTGGTATTCTTAGAATGGGGCATCTGTAAGGGATTCGAGTGGTACTCAGCTCCTTGTTTTTGGGATCAATACTTAATTCAGTCTGGTTGTTATGTTCTTGACGAAGTTGAGAGTTGGGTTTTCTTGAATACTACTATAGGAGTGTTATAGTGATCAATTTTGTTTTTTATAATATAGCTAAATTTTTTTATCCATATAATTGTAAGTCATACAAACATTTAGATTGTGCATATCACAGGTGTAGCAACCTTATTCAGATTCAACTATAGCTAATACAGTGTCAATATTTACTATTTGTACTATAATTTTGACGAACATAGGACTCTTATAAATTTTTTGATCATTATGGGTGCTTCAGGGAGGTGACAGGAAAGATGTCTTTTTCTATCAAGCTGATGATCAGCATTACATACCTCGAGCCTTACTAATAGATTTGGAACCCAGAGTGATCAATGGAATCCAAAACAGTGAATATAGAAATCTATACAATCATGAGAACATCTTTGTTTCAGATCATGGTGGGGGTGCTGGAAATAATTGGGCCAGTGGATATCATCAGGTTTGCTACTCAATATTTGCATACCTTAGTATTTCAACTTTTATTTTAGATATTGTGTTGCATCTTCTATTACATTAGATTTTACATGGCTCTACATCACTAATGAAGGAACTGGAAAAGCTTTATTTAGACATCTATGTTGACATTGTTTACTTAAAATTAATCTGATTCCACTTGTAAATTATTTTCAATAGTTTTTTGTTATACATTAACATAAATGGGGATTATAACTCTTTTCTATATGCCTCAATATGGGAAATTTTTTAAATTTTTCATGGAGTTATCTTAGCTTAGTTCATGGGTAGATTTCCTATAACTTATTGAAGCTTATCAGAATTGTCAGACAGTGTGCACGTTCACATCCATAACTGTGATTCATTAGAGACAGTTATATGTGGAGAAACTAGTGGTTTCAAGCGGACCGGCTATAATTCATTTTTGTACCCCATTTCATGCTAACATAATGAGCTACTGTAAAGAAGCATTACTAAGCTTACATTTTAGATTGCGATGATTCTGGTAAGTTACTCTTGAGGCTTCATCCAGTCAGACAAATAATTTCCATAATCAAGTAGTCAGTACATAATTTGGTCCTGGATGGCTCATTAAGATTTTGTCTTTCTTTTTTCCCAATTGTAGAAAGTGAGCAGTACTTTATCAGAAATCTTTTTTAATTTTCAGACACTATTTAATTTGTTTTCGGTTAATTACTATCTGATCAGGGGAAAGGGGTTGAAGAGGATATTATGGACATGATTGATAGAGAGGCTGATGGAAGTGATAGTCTTGAGGGATTTGTTCTATGCCATTCAATTGCTGGAGGAACAGGCTCAGGTTTCTTTAATTCTCATCACCTTCGCCTTTATATTAAAATTTAAAACTTTGTTTTGTTTTTGTTTGCATTTCTTAAATGCTGAATTTCTAAAAATTTGTTGATACCAATTGATGAACTGAATTGATTTTTGGTAACCGCATTAATGGTTAAAAATGGATTAACAATGCACGGCAATATTTACAACTTTGGATGTCCAATAATTGGTTTATTGACTGCATAGAAATTGTCATATCTACATTATGACATTAGTACTTTTTTCTTATATGTTGAAGGTATGGGTTCATATTTGTTGGAGACTCTAAATGATCGCTATAGCAAAAAACTGGTTCAGACATACAGTGTGTTTCCCAACCAGATGGAGACAAGTGATGTGGTGGTCCAGCCCTATAACTCACTCTTGACGTTGAAGCGACTGACACTAAATGCTGATTGTGTTGTTGTTCTTGACAATACTGCCCTGAATAGAATTGCTGTGGAGCGCCTACATCTACAAAATCCCACATTTGGTCAAACTAATTCTTTAGTTTCTACTGTAATGTCTGCAAGTACAACCACTTTGCGCTATCCAGGATACATGAACAATGACTTGGTTGGCCTTCTTGCCTCTTTAATTCCAACACCAAGATGTCATTTTCTTATGACAGGATACACACCACTCACTGTGGAGCGCCAGGTAGCCTTCAAACTTGCTGTTGTTCAGCTGCTGAAATCCATATTGTATATCTTAAAGTAGTTTTACAGTTGATTATGTGGAGTATATAAAAACGTTTTAGTAAGCCAGATATTTTTGCATTCAGAATATTACTAGAGACAGATTTTTTTTTCATGCAATTTGAAGTTAACATCGTTTGAGTTTAAAGATTGGAAGCAGAAAAAAAGTCCTATATATGTCTGTATTTTATTATATGTAGTTTCATTCTGAATCCCGACTGTCAATTATTTGGTGAGGTCTAGTTGGAGTATATTAAGAATTTCTTCTAATATAATTATAGGTCTGATTCATATAATATGATTCATTTTTGGTTTCTCATATTCTTTAGAAATTTATGTTAGGCAATTTTCACTCTTTAAAAGGGAGGAACTTTTGCTGCAGTTCTGATGTGAGTATATCTCTTCTTGTCAGGCTAATGTGATCCGTAAAACTACTGTACTAGATGTTATGAGAAGACTTCTGCAGGTGAAAAGCTTTGCTTATAGTAAATTCAATGAATTGCAGCTAGGCATTCTTCTGACTCTTCCTTTTTCCAGACGAAAAATATTATGGTTTCTTCTTATGCTCGAACAAAAGAAGCCAGTCAGGCGAAGTACATTTCAATATTGAATATCATTCAAGGAGAAGTTGACCCCACTCAGGTAAAATATCTATATGAAGTTTGTGAAGTCACTATAACTTTTGTAGAAATTGAGCTTTATGGCAGTTTATGGTTTTAAAATAAAATGTGTGCTCTTTGGAAGTTTTAGCTATATATCCCTTGTATGTCATACACCTAAACTGAAATACTGTCTGTGGTTGTTTGAGAAGCTAACTATGTCAGCGGTGTGACTCATTGCTCAACAGATCATTTATATTGATATTGGTGCACTTTCATGAAACTTGAATTCACTGCTTACTTGTCACACTGCACTTAGATTACTGGAATTCAGTTTAGTTACGTTTAATGGAAATTTATGTTAAAACATTAGATTACTTTTGATTGGTTGGCATTTCCTACTCTTTTTTCAGGTACATGAGAGTTTGCAGAGGATTCGTGAAAGAAAGCTTGTCAATTTTATCGAGTGGGGCCCTGCAAGTATTCAGGTTTTTCCCATTGACATAGCAATCTGTTCTGGTATTCAGTCTTTTCTTTCTATCCTAATACTGGGTTTAATTTATCCTTCCTTATTTGGGCATTTTTCTAGGTTGCTCTCTCTAGGAAGTCTCCTTATGTTCAAACTGCCCATCGGGTAGGACCTCATATCTTATCACTAATGTTTACATATTTTATCTTTCATGATATATAGACTGAGGGTTTTAAACTTTTCTTACTGGAAATTTATATGTTGCATTTCTTAGGTTAGTGGGCTCATGCTAGCAAGCCATACTAGTATCAGGCATCTCTTCAGTAAATGTTTGAGTCAATATGAGAAGTTGAGAAAAAAGCAAGCCTTTCTTGACAACTACCGGAAGTTTCCGATGTTTGCTGTAAGTTGCCTTTGTCATGACTGTTATTGTCGTACTCTACTTTTATTTGGTAAAACTTTATTTCTGCAGTTATGCTTTCTGATCAGAACTTAATTAATTAAGAATAAAACATCTTTTATGATATGAGATATTATATTTTACTCTGTAACACCTTTTGTACTGTAGACCCATGATAAATAAAATGTCTCCATGGGCTGTGCTAGCCTTATAAATTGCTTGGATGCATTTGTGTATTATTCTGATGAAGTAGAAAACATGGACAGGACAATGATCTTTCAGAATTTGATGAATCGAGAGACATAATTGAGAGCTTAGTTGATGAATATAAGGCTTGTGAGTCCCCAGATTATATCAAATGGGGAATGGAGGTAAGTGTCGTGTGGCTTGATTTTTTACATCCTTTGTTTATTTTGAACCTTACTGATGACTCTATGATCTATGCAGGATCCTGACCACGTTCTAACAGGAGAAGGCAATGCTACTGGAACTGTGGATCCTAAATTAGCAGTGTGAACAAACCAAGGAAGGTACAGTTGCATTTTCCTTGAAAATTTCTGTGGGTTTATCAGTATTTCTTTATTGGAGTAAAAGAAATTCCTTAATATGAATTTATAGGAGCATCTAGATTGTTTTCGTGTGTTTGTAAATTGTTGATAAAAACAGTCTTTGAAGCATATAGTTGCATTCCAAGGGGTCTTAGTGGGGGAAATTGTTTAGTTGCTTGAGCAGTGAATCTTCTTCTAGAAGTTGTATATCTCCTTGGTGTTCATGTGAGATCTTGTTATGGTTCTTACTTCTTCCCAGTGGTTCCTGTACTCTGAAATCAGCTATCTATATGCCCAAAATTTTTGCTTCCTTAACTACTTTTTCGAGGACTAAAAAAAAAATAAAAAATCAAGAACTATATTCAGTGTCAAGCTGTCCAATGAAGGGGCTGAAAACCAAAAATGAATAAAAAGTTATCCAGTTAATGATCTAGTTAATATGTTCTCTCTCATGGATTGCAATATGAATTGGTCATATAACCAGTGAGTTGACCGATATCTGGCAATTCAAATAATTCTGTTAATGGCAATAATAATATGGGATTCAATTTTTTTGCCTTAAAGTATATAAGTAGAAAGCTATATCCCTGCATCTTTGGTGCTTCTAAATTTACCTATGGGTTACATCAACACCTCTGAGGCCCTTTTGTAGCTCTTGCCTTTGATTTACTTGAATCTCTTGAACTGCAGGTGCTTGTGAATTCTCTCCTTCATGTAATTTTCCAGAACCAATCAAAGTATAACATTAATATCATTGTTTGCTGGAAATGACTTTTGGTTGCATATACCAACCTGTTTCCTCCGTGGTTTACACTGTAGATCTGGTCATCTGATTTAATTGTGGAAGCTTCTTTTACTTTGCAGTCAGAGAGCTAAGTACCTTATGATTTGCTCTACAGGATGTAGACTGGTGCTGAAAGCCTGTGAAGGAGGACTGTAATTAAAGTTGGGTGCATTTGTTTTTGAGTTATTCCTGTATTAACATTTGATAATTTGTAATGCGATTGAGGTGTTGGGTGTATTTTTCAAATATTTCCTGATCTTGATTGATACCTGAGACTAGAAGTGCAGAATCTCACTGTATCTATTAGGTTTCCTAGCCTTTACCGATGTCTGTTTAGGTGCCCTGGAATCTAAAGAAAGCCAGGCAACACAACTGCAGTCAGAATTTCATATTTCTGGCGTAGGCCTCTGAGGTATGAGGCAGGTTTTTTTTGCTTATTGTTTGTTCTTCATCTTTAGTTTTCCAATACTTATTCTGGTGTAAATGTTTTTATCTGTTGAAATTCGTCTTGAGAAAAAAATATCATGTTACCGCGCCATGTGGCCTAGTTTATTTAACTATTCAACATTGCATGTGAATTATAGTACATTGTATCGCATGTTTTATAGCTTCACCCATGATTGCGTTGGACTATGGTCTAACGCCAAGTCCCTCAAGGTTTGTTTTCTTTTCTGATATTATATCATACATTAATGTTTATAAATATATTATTTAATTGCTAAGCTGGTCTTTTCATGGATTATTCTCATTGACGTGTAGAATTGTCAACCAGTCCTGAGAAAAATGGTGAATCTCACATGTTATATTTCTCGGTTTGCGGTTGCGGATGACATGTGATGCATTGAATTGTCATGTATCAGATCTTTTTATTTTTCGAACATTTATGATCATAAATGAAGTTTTAAATGCATTCTTTTAAAATATTCTTAACCTGTGGTCCTTTCTTGAATGTCTGATTCTTAAATGGTAGAAGGAATTTGGACCAACAGAATACTGAAAATGGTCGTGTATGTTTGAGTTACCTGGTTTTGGAACAAAATATAAACATTATATTTAGGCTTTAAGAGTTTTGAATTTACATTACCTGTTGAATGTACCAGCCAATTCAACCGTAATCATCAGCTGGGTTCAACGTTTATTTACCAACTCGGAATGTGACGAGGTTGGCGTAGTGGACATGAAAAATCTCTTTGAATTTGAATTTTAAATTTGAATGTCTCCATCCTTCGTCCAATAGGAGTACACAGATTATGGACGATGAGGATGGTGAGGGGCAACTATTAGGGACATATAGAACCACAGCACGGGGGATATAAGCTGTACAAACACTTACTAAAATAGAAATACATACCAGCTAATGAAATTCTGCTCCTTAAGCTACGTTTCTTGGATAGGTTTGCAACCCTTCATTTTCTTTGAATAGGTCGTAACATAGGACGAGGCGATTATTATTGAAGATAAAATAAAATTATTATTACTCTCATGTGCTTATTTGGTGGTTGCCCAAACGTTTTACATTTAATGCCAGTTGTTTCTTTGGAATTGTAAATTTAAAATTGATTCTCCTTTCATCGTAATTTGTCCAATTGAAATTTGAATTTGAAGACCAGAATCAAAATTGATAAGAAACCTAATCCACCAAAGAGAATTAGCCGTTAAATCGGTTATAATTGACGGGAAAGGTGGGGTAGGGGTAGGGGTAGGGGTAGGAATATGAATTGGGGACAACTTAGTTGACAGTCTGTGTACAAACGATTTTAGTAGACAGTCACATGGCCTTGTAATCAACAATCATAAACCTAAATATAAGATACCGATGTGGACCCCATTTTAACACGTAACACTTTTATACCCATAATACCCTTAGTGGACTGCCGGTCATATCCTTCTTATAAACCAACTCATTCTTTTTCCCCTAAAATCCTCCTCTCAAATCAAAATCTCTCTCTACATATATCTATCTGCTGCTGCTCTTATACATTGTTCTCAGTCACATTACTGAGAAACAACCGTTACATTAATAGAGAGAAAAAAGCAATGGAAGTTATTATGTCAAGGGCCTTTTTCTGCTTCTTGGCTGTGCTCGCCATTTTTTTGGCTATAATCTCGCCATCCGTTGACGCCCAATCCACGGCTCCTGCACCTGGCCCTACCAGTGACGGTATGCTTATGCTCTACTATCTCCTTCAATCTTTTCTTTTTTTCTTTTTTCTCTCTACTTTCAGCTCTTTCTTGTTTCCTTATTTCTAGAGATCTAGAGTTTTCTTGTTTTCTTCTTTCTAGAGATAGATCTAGAGTTCTTTTTGTCATTCCTCCTACGTACATATGATTGTGAGGCGCAGATGACCGTCTCCGGCAAAATTCAATGTCTTTTAATACTTTTTCGGCGTTTTTTTCTTAATAAAGAATTTACGATAGCTGCATAGTTATATTTTTCATAAATATTGAAAAATCTTCTTAAACTAAAATATCCCCTAGTTATTAACTTTGTGAGAATGAGCATTGTTACATATTTGAGTGTAACTCCGGATTATTGTGGTCGTACAGGGACTTCTGTCGATCAAGGAATTGCGTACGTCCTGATGCTGGTGGCTCTGGTGCTTACATACCTCATCCACCCTCTAGACGCATCTTCTTACAACTTCTTTTAAATTTCTGCTTGGAAGCTTGATGGGTTAGATCAATGGTGGACAATGTGGATAATTTAGATTTTCTGTGATTGGCGGATTGTTTGTGTAGTTGAATGCTGTTGTTTTTGGTGATTGGGATTCTTTTCTTTTGCATTCCAGTTCTGCTCTGGCTATTTTTCTGTTCCACCTGTATTTATTAGTAATTATTCGTATATTTATTGGAATCATTGAATTTTTTTTTTTTTTTTTTTTAACATTGTGATCCGTAGAACCAATACCACATTGTCCATATAAAACTGCAATATAGTATTAATACAAAAGCGGTAAACAGAACTTTTAGACGGAAAATTATCCTTCACTTCAAGAGTTTATAATATATAAGAAAATCCAATCCAAGAGTCTTCTGATACGATGATTTGTAACTCTCTCGAACGGGAAAAAAAAGAACAAAAAAGTCGTTGACTTGTACCGGAGCTTTGATGAAGTTAAACTTTATAAAAGAAAATGTGTCGCAGCCTCTTTTTTTAATTTATTTATTTATTTATTTTAATTTCAACAAAGAAGCTTTCTGTCAGTCAGCATTGAAATGTGCTATGTCCTGGCGTTTACACTTTGCAGGCCCCAGGAAGAGGATTTGATTGCCTCCCAGAAACATTCAAATTTCGTTTCATCCTTCCGTCGAGTAAAAGGTGTCTATGATAATGCATAGCATTCTAATCGCATTGTACATGGAAATAATATTCCTCAAACTGATAGATCGGCACTATCAACCCATATTTCTATTATTCGAGTTGATGTCTGCGATTTAAAGCATACTTAACAACTTCATAGGAAGAAACTACCATCCCAACAGATGGACCCGCACGACCAACACGGGGACCTACTCCTGTAAATAGTCCTTTCATTCCTCCATCCCTGTATCAAATCCAAATCAGTCAGGCCAAATACTCTGGAATACAGCCCCTCCACAACCTCCAAAGAATCAACTATGGCTTCAGCTGCTAATTGGGAATTTGAATCTTACACAGATCCTACCAAAACATGTATGGTGTGTTGCTATGCACAGGTATTAGGTACATCATACATGTTTCAGTTGCACAAAATCTCACTCCAAAAGTATAATAACAATTAAGAAATAACACATAGGGACGTACCTCCAGATCTCCATCAATGTCTGCCTTGTAGTCATTTTTAATGCCCTAGTAGGATCCTTCTGCAGAAAACAGAATAAACTATGTATTATGAACCAAAAACAAACAAGTGATCAAGAAATATTGAAAGCCAATCTGGCCATTTTGATGCCCTTGATTGTCCTTCAGTTTTGGACTTTGGAATGTAACAACTCTTTTTTGGTCGAAGAAAAACTAACATAACTTTAAGAAACAAGTGCCAGGTCGACAAATTAATTTACTCCTATGATTCTATATCTATTCCCAAAAGACATACACACTAAAAGGGTTCTGTCTCAATCAAGTTTTTGACACTGCTGATGTTCATGGCCTCGCAATTAAATCTAATTTCCAAAGACATGGCAGAGCAAATAACAGACTCATTGGATTTAACGTCTCAAGGACATCAATGACGCCCCCACAACACCCCTCCCTTCCTTTCCCTTTGACGGTACTGCTTGCTAGATGCATATTAATGAGCTTGGGAAGAGGAAAAAACCTCTATTTGACGTCGTGTCTTTGCAACATCTAGGGGACATGTAGCAGCAGCTGCAAGGGTTCCTGCAACAAAACCAGCTGTGAAATTTGCCCCCAGGACACTGGTTGCTGTGGCCTCATCACCCACCAGAGAAAGAATATTTCTCCTGATCTGCACAGAATAGACAATAGGAAAGCAGCATTATCAAGTTGGATGTCTTCCCAAAAATAACATTTTAAGTTGGATCCATCTTTTTAACTGTATAGTAGAATAAATTCTCACTGGCTCAAGGGTTGACCAACAAATTGCAGAGAAAGGAACATCACGAGCAAGTTGTGCTCCAAGACCAGTCCACAAGATGCGGTAGTTTTGTACTGTTTATATGAGGTTACATCAGTCACAATTTCTAAAAGTCCAGCATTAAACTGAACCAATCAAATCAGAATTATCCATCAAACTCTTATCAGTCCCAATGAATTAATTACCTGAAAGCATAAAGTTAAGGGAGAGAGAGGGAGAGAACACACAAAAATTGTACTTATAAATATCTATTCTAAAGTCAACTTACAGTTTTGAATGTTATTTGTGCTACCAACTGGATTCACAACGCCAACTAGTGTTTTCCATACTCCTGGAAGCTTCACACCGTTTTGTGTTTCTTTAAATGCCTAGAATTTAGAAGAAGAGTAAATCAAAAAAGACAACTTTGATCAAACTCATTAAAACGACAAATGTCTCCACATATATACTCAAGGATGTAGCTTATATAACATTTATTAGCATGCACATTGACTAGAAAATATAAATAATTATTATTTCAATTCTTTTTGTACAGAAAGTTGATCCCCATTAGAGGGAAACTATAAGCACCAAACTCTAAAAAGTAAATACCATTCATTTTTTCCGCTTTAATAAAAGAGTAAATTGTCAGAAGACAAAATCGTCCGCATCAAGTTCCTTCAATTGGGAGAAGGTTCACATATTCAAATACATACATTAGACTCCACCCCACAGGGATATTTTCCAATAAACTCAACAATCAAGAATGTGACTACAATGCATACACCATCAAAATCAACCAAACAATTCAGCAACAACCAATTAATTCATGATCATATTGGGTAAAAGTAAACTTTGATGGGGACAAACAAAATATAACCAAATATACCTGCATGCGGGTCCTTGCTAATTCAACTGGGTAACAAGCAACACATGCTAATGATCGTGCAACGGAACCTGCAACTAATGGGACATATGGTGTCAAGGTTGGAGCATTGCATGCTGTGAAGTTTTCCATCAGATTACGAAAAATGTCATAGCAAGGCAGATAAATCCCCACCTGACCAATATAAAAGAACAATAAACATCAGCAGAAGTTCCTTCAAAAAAGTAAAACATTAAGTATAAATAATCCAAACAATTTCTTGCACCAAACCAATGCATGGGGATCAAACACTAGAAGAAAGCATTTAAGATAGAAGAGTAAATATTAAGCAAGAAACTTACTGTTGGCACAGCCAATGCTAAGCTTGCATTGGTGCCTCTCCATAGTCTAGCAAATCCTTCCTGCACATATTTACCACTTGTGAAGCCTCTAATAGAAGTTTATATGTATATTAAACACAAATGCTATATGATTAACCAAATAGTGGCACCTCACAATTCAATCGCGGGAGGCATAGTTAATAAGCTACAAAATCCCTCCCCAGCATACAAGAATTCACAATGTAAGTACAGTACAATAACATTAACAGTCTGGATCATGCAATGCCTAGAAGACACTCTACCAACCCCAGGTTCTACTGAGTGATTTTATCCTACAGATCAATCCACTTTCAAACTGACAACCTGGCACTAGATATATACCAACCTGTCGTATGACTTTGTAGAAGACATCTAGTGTTCCTTTATACCGACTACATTCTGGAGCTGGTTCCCTGCCACTAGCTACACGTGTGCATGATGGAGAATTTCTCAGATCTGGAAGCATCTACATAAACAATTTAACAGTATCATGTAAAACATAATCTAAATTTTGAAGAAGTAAATAAAAATAAAATAATAATCACAAAATAGAAACGGCATTTTATCGACAACACTGTTATTTAAAACTCCTCAAGCATTGGGTATACAACAGGATGAAACAAAAAAGTGGAAGTGAAAGATGCTTGTCATGTGCTGTAGTCCATGCACCTTGACACACTTCGATTTCTCCTCTCCATCAGTATCTAACAATACAGCTTTTGACCAAGACAGCAATCGATGAAATTTGATTGAGTGAAACTACTATTTTATCATTTAGAAACTTAGACTTAAGTGCTATGAGTTCTCTATTTATACTTATACAGATACTGGAGGATGCATTCATACTTTATTTCATGAATATTCTACATTATTTATCTCCAGACTATTTCTTCCCCTATAACACTTCACATAATAATATAATACCAAGAAAAGAAGCAGAAAAAAGCAGTTCACATACCACATTACTTTCGAAACACGCGGTACAAACTAAATCCCGGTAAGGTACTCCAGCAGCCTGTGCTTGCAACCTTGTCTGGAGACAACCCAATAAAAATGTATAATATCCATTAACTCATCATAAACTTCAAGCACTATATTGATTTAAAAGGACTAGAATTTCTAAAAATTTAAGTCACAAAGCACAGGGAGACACAAGTGACCAACTAACAAGTATCTCTCAAATGCAATTCTTTTTAACCACATATTATAAAATTCACAACAATTCAACAATTAATTTAAAATTGCTTTAAGAAGTTAACTGAAGAAAACTATTTCTTCAATCTTTTAGCTTCCTTTTCTTTCATTCTCGGTAAGAATGAAAATTATCTCAACGAGAAATAGGAAACACGCAAAAGGAAACGGATTCTATTCTTTGGAGTTTTTCTTAATCAAAAAACGAAAGAAGAAAGAAGTGATAATCGACAATAATTTCTCGACGAAAATACAAATTTAATTTCAAAAAATTTAGACAAAATAATATGCAGTAAAAACATAAGAATTGTGAACCTTAGCAACATCGAGAGGGTTAACTATAATGGCAGAGACAATAGCGGCACCAGCTGCAGAGAAAGCCCTCTCTCCAAAACCCAAATTGACATCATTTTTGACGGCTATAGATGGTTGTAATTGTGAATGTTCTTCTTTACCTTCTTGAAACATATTTTCGGAAACAGAGGAAACGTTTCCCTCTAAATCAACTCTTGTTGCCGCTGCTGCACTTATCCATGAAGGCACTGGCACGCCCTGCCTCGACCCTACCATTGCTCGCTTCTCTTTTATTCTTCAATACAAGATCAAAAGAATCCAAAAGGACCAAAACAGAATTTGGTTCTGTTGTTAATTAGAGTTATTATGAAAGACTTTTATTAAATTGAAGAACAAACAAACAAGACAATTATATAAAACTGATTTTTTATTTTTTTAAATAAATATATTCGAGGAGTTTCTAATTTGCATGGGAAGGAGGAGCTTATAAGTGAATGGTGGCGTGGGAATAAGGGCGCCAACCAATCTTGTAATGACGTGGTCTCTGTCGTTCAAGAGTCCTTTTGTATTATTTATCGAAATTAAAAAAAAAAAAATGCTTTATTTCGTTTGGGCTTGAATTGGCCTCAATATATGGACCCAATTTGAAAAGCTAGTTACTAGTAAGGTGCTCCACTGAATTAACCCATTACAATTTTTTGAATACATCAAATGGGCGGGGCAGGGCGGGGATTTCATTCACTGTACCCATCCCCTGCCCCAAAAATCACTTCCCCACCCTGCCCCATCCCCATTATGAGAAGGACAAGAATTCCCCTTCCCCACCCCATGAGTAATGTTGGAGGCCATCATTTTCCCATAAATTTTACATAAACATAAATATGAGTATTTATCAGGATTCTCCTTATGAAACATAATATGGGTTTATATAGGTAAGATAATTGTATAATTAAGTGAAATATATATTAGTAAAAAGTAAATATATATATAATTTTGTATATTACATATTGGGCAGGGTGGGGAAAGACATCACCCACCCCCGGGGACAAGGATTAAAATGCCCCCCACCCCGCCCCTATCCCGGAAAAAATCGGGTTTTCCCACCTCATACGGGACGGGACGGGTCCCCAGAATTCCGAGGAACAATGTCATGCCTAATATCAAATCCATATATTTCCATAATATTTCTTGTATTCATACTCAATGTTGGTATATAATTGACTAGCTTAATAATTATCGATGATAAAATTAAAGGTTGGATCCAATTTGCAGGTGACTATTAATATCGGGAGTATCCTCTTAGTTGATTCTAATTTTATTTTCGTTTCGCAATTGGAAATTCATAATTTTAATTTATGAGATCTCAGCCTCAGAAGTCGAAATGCGAGCTTGAGCAAATAATTTGATTGTCAGATTAGAAGATAAGCACACGTCTTATCGGGCCTAACAATTAAGATGTCAACAACCCAAGTGGTTTTCTACGACACTTTGATGAACTCTTTTAACATAATTTATAACAAAGTACAAGGAAAAGTAAAAGAAGAAACATTTCCGAACATTAATTGATGAAAAAAAAAAAAAAAAAAATTATCCCCTGCCATAGAAAACATCTAATGGGCTCTTGGAGATGGTGATTAGTGGAGTATTTATTTCTCTTGCATTTGTTGAATCAACTGATGAGAGAATTTTTCTCTGTGACCACTTTTGCCAAGAATGATAAAATTGAATTGTAGATGAAACTGCTAACAATTTGACTGCAATTCCAACAGTTTTTTGCCACCTCCATGGATTGAAATATAATCTAATGAAACTCATGAGAAAACTTGAAATCCTTCTCTTCCCATTATGAACACTGAGGTTAACTTATATATTTTCTTTGGAATTACAACTGAAAGCAGTTGTTTTGTTGCCAAAACACACATTAAGCTCTTTCACCACATCTATTTTTCCTTGATATCCTTTTACTTGTTCCATGAGATACAATCTGCTGTTTTCCAAACGTGTGAGAGCCGCATTCCTATCCATTGACTGCCAAGTCTGCACACTCTGGAAAATACATAACTGGCATTGTGAATATTACCTAGATTGCTATTTTACAGGATTCAAATCCATCAAAATTCTGAATGCCTCATGCAAGCTACTGTTCTTTAACTTGTTCTTAATGTTAGTTCAAATCATGTCATTAACAAGTAACCCCAACATTATTTCAATTGGCCGAAAGTCGGTAGATGACTTACTGTTATAAATTTTCCCTATGAAAGTTCAAATCATGTTGTGGCTTCCAAAGTTTTGATTAAAGGAATGGATAATTGTTCATAAGACAGAAAATGTTACCTGTAAAAACCTACGTATGTTTTCAACTTGCTTCAATAATCTGTTAGAGCAATCAATCTCTCCCGCTCCTCTAATGGGGTCTCTGCAACATCACAGTAGCGACCATGTTCTGAACAAACCCTGCAGAAACTGATACTGCTTTTGATTTCATCACAGAGCTTATCATGTAAAGTTTGTGCTCTCTCAATGAGAGTCTTAATGCCCGTCTTATCTACCTCTTTCATTGAAAACACAGTCCATCAATCAAAACCCGCTTGCTTTATTGATTTTAGTTTATATTCTAATGTTTCTCTTTAGTCTTTACAATTACTGTACTTTCCAGATCTCTCCAGCTTTTCTTTTTCGTGTTGGAGGAAAGATTAAGACAATGTGGAAAGAAAGTAGGCCTCTTATTCCTTTATGGTCTGCATTCGGAGTGTATAGAATCATTTTTCCATCTTTTTCTTTTTTATGTGGATTTGCTTTAAAGAGAATTCTGTTTGGAACTAAGAAACTTAGCTGTTGATACCCTACAGTCTCACTCTCATCACATTAATTTATTCATGAATGTCATGATAACAAGTTTATGCCCCCATGGTCCAGACCATCAGGCTTCCAAATGCTATGTCTATGTCATGATCTCCATGTGTATCATGTATGTGCAAGTGTGACTGTTGTAATTATAGCTATAGCATACTTACAATTTAGACGAAATAAAATAATTTTTTGGTATGGCAGAATGCCACCATGGCTCATTATGTAATATGAACATTTCCATACACATCTTTCCAGAATTTTGAAACATTAGGTCCCATGTGATTGCATCATGAAAACAAGCCAATAGAAATCAGCCTTTGATTATTTAATCTCCTCTTTAGGCAATATATATCATGGGCCCAGCCCGTTCGTGGTTAACAAGTGATGAATGGGCCAAATCTAGAAGCTCCATTTCAGATCATGGACACTATAAGCTGGGCCAGCTGATAACTGTGCATGGTTAATTTTTTTTTTTTGGTTGGGTCCATAAGTTCGGTGCCTCTGCTGCTAATCTAATCAATCGCATCACATGTTTCTTAATGATTGTATGCACAGTGATTTGGCTCTTTGATCGCCCAAATACACAAAAACAGTCATGATAATTGGAGAATTACACTCACTCAGTAGGGTCATATTGTATAATGACCAAATCAAATAAGCTTAAAGAGTAAACAACATATTCGCACCAAGGTTTCACGAAATCCAACGTTGGTATCTTTAGTTGTATTTATTCTAAATTTTCATCCTCAAAACAATAGTATTAGCAATTGTTATGGTATAGATGATGCAATTATCATAATGCCCCTAAGCCTGAGTTAATAAATTACGTTTTAACTCTTAAATTAGTAGAATTATAAAGCGTAATTTAGGGGTTGTTTTCGACGGCATCGAACCCCTTGATCACTTCCATCACCTCCCCGTAGTTTTTTGTCCAAAACCCCTCTAGTTCCCGACTCATTGGCCCATCTAATCGTCGACGTCGTTAGGCTTAGGGTTTTGCTGTTCCTTGCCAGATTTCGACAGCGAAAATCCAATTGGACACCACCACTACAACCAATGTCTCCAACTCTATAAAACCCCTATGTCCTTAACAACCGTTTAGTTGTCGTTCGCGGGCCGAGAGTTCATGTTCATCAGTCATTTTTTTTTGAAGTGGTGTATGGCAAACGGTGAGCTGTCGTGACTGGGAAGGTTAGGGGTTTTGTTGTAGGAGAGAATGCGAGAAGTCAAATGGTGGTGGTGGTTGTTAGGGTTGTCGCCGTTCAATATGGTCGAAAACTGGCAAAAACCAGTCGCATTTCGTGGCTGGCGATCGATGACTGATGGAGGGTTGTGAAGGGTAATATTTCGTAGATGGGAAGATGAGGGTTCAAATGGTAATGACAAGGATGATTTTGGGTGGAAGAATCACTGAAAAAAGGGCGAAAAACATCAAGGACGCCATCTCTGCTAACACGCTCTAGCAGACTGTTAGAGGCAACGATCTGCTAACGTGCACTGTCCATGCAAAATGACCAATTCAACCCTTTACCGTTACATCAAACACTTTTTCGTCACTTTAAGGATAGGAATCTGAAATAAATATAACTAGAGCTACCAACATGGGATTTCATCAAACCTTGGGTGAGAATATGTCGTTTACTCAAGCTTAAATTGCTGCTTAGATTTTAATCCATGCCTTTTTGCTTCATGCTTAGACTTCTCAATGGGGTCTTGCTAGAGTATTAACAAACAATTTGACAAACGACCCAATTAAGTACCTCAATTGATGGCCATTAATGTCCATAAGGGACCCAAAAGCAGAGATAACTTATACGTGAAATAAATTAAAAGTTTAAAGAAAACATTGTGGCAGACTGCAGTGGAATAGTTTTTTGCCCATAACGTATTTACAGACAAAGCAGGAGTAGAATATTGGTCCTTTAGGCCACACAGGGGGGATGCCTGACGACCCAATGGTTCAGATTTGAGAAACACACTTCATTCATTTCCCTCACCCCATCATCAAACTTTATGTTTAAAAAAATTAAGTAAAGAATGGCTTGAGTCATATACCCCACAAGAGATTGCTCAAGGTCTCATGAGATTTATAATCAGTAAGTGAAATGGACCTTACAGGCCCCTATCTTTTTGGATTTATTAAATTTAAAGTTCAATCAATATGCTGAATTGATTAGATTTGTTGTTGACATTACCCTTAACCGTAGCTCACTTTTTCATGATTGCCATTCCGATTTGAGGCCATCTACTGGCTAAAAACTTGAGAGTTCCAGGCCAATTAAGATTCAGACTGAAGATATATACCTTAATAGTATTTGTAAATTTTATGTGTAAATTTTTTTTATTGCATAAAAGGTGTTATCATTCATGATTAGAAGGGTCAAAAATATGATGTTTTGCATCTTTATTTTTGCACTTTGTATTATCTTTTCTTTTCTTCTTTTTCTTTTTTCGTTTATGTCTAAATC